AACCTTCTTTAAAAAAATTTTGTCAAGTTCATTGGATTAAACAAGACATTTGAAAAATTTTTCAAAAATTCATTTTTTACCAAAAAAATTAATAATCATAAGTGCAGTAATTTTTTTTTATTTAAAAAAAAATTTAATAGATTTTATCAAAACTATTTTTTAAAATGATGAAATCTTTTCAAACCAATTTTTAAATTTTTTTATCGTAAAAAATTAAAAAAATATCTACTTGATATTAATTTATCAAAACTGTTGTTAAAAATTAAGAACTGAATTTTATAATGGCTAAAAATAATAGAAAATGTAAAAACTTTTTTTTTAGAGAGTTGCAGTATAAATATTGTAAATTTAAAAAAACATGCATGTGGATAAAAATGAAAAGATAAAGAAAATGTAGTGCAAGATTTGAAGCAACTGGTAAAGTTACATTTAAAAATGCTTGAGGATATCCCACGCAATTTTACAATAATATATTATAAAGTTATGCATACGCTCATTGAAACTCCTCGGGTAGATATAATAATACTGATAATAATAGTAATATAAGCAACAAAACGTGACCTCTTGTAGTATTTTGCATTTCCCATTAGCATCGAAATCAAAATTACAAAAAAGATTTTTGAGTAAAGTGAACGCTGGATTTAATTATACGGAAATAAAAGAAAGACTGAGGAAGAAAAAAAAACCAGCAAATTGCTCAGTCAAAGCCTGTCAGTTCTCCGATTGCGGTTGGTATTTAGATTAGTACTTTTTAAAATGGTGTTCTGTAAAATAAAAAGTCTCGAGAGAATGTGAATAGGCCCTCATTAATTTGGGCGTATCTTTAATCACCAGTAGTGCGGTTGGAATTTCGAGGCTTAGCACGAAAGTTTCTAAATGCGATAGCTAAGTAGAGGATGTTACACCGAAGGAAGTATCTGAACCAAATATATATACATGTATTTATGCAGAAAGTACATTGAATATATCGACTTTCTCAGGTAGGGTATAGTAGAGCGAGCGTGCACGAAATATCGATTTGTAACCTCTATCTCTCTCTCATTTTCTTTATATTCTTTATATCAACCCCCGGTTACCCGCTACCCGACCAAGTTCCGCTTCCGGTTACCAAGCTTTTGAACGTACAAGAACGGACCATTGATCCCACCGGGTATAAACGTATTACAAAACATAATTAACGATCACAGTCACAATCGGATATCAAAAATCGCACTTTGGTTGGATTTATCATTTTTATAAAATTAGGAAATTTTTTTTTTGTCATTGGTCTCCTTTTGGAAAATTTTTAGGGGTTAATTTTCATAGATTTGTTTTCTTAAAAATGTAAAAAAATATTAATAATTAATAATTTTACACATATATATTCAGAAGGTAGGATTTAATAAATAAGTCTGGTAACTTTTTGGTTTTTCAGAAAAATTACAACTGAAAAAAATATTTTTAAAAATCACATTAATGATTATATAAAATTTATAAATTTATTTAATTAATAAAAAATATGACTGCAGAAAATTTAAAACTTATGATTTAACATTCTTTGATTCAATGATTTTTTACTATTCTTAATAACAACATACATTATTATTGTTATGAAACTTTTGGAATAAATTTTGAAAACAATAATAGTGTTATAGAATTAATTATCAAAATTTTTTTTTTAATTGCATCAATAATTTAAGAAGAAAACATTTTTACAATAATTTATTAATTAATAATAAAATTAAGCGTGCAGTAGCCTATCGGATCCGGCCCTTGCTACCAAAGCATTGGACCGGGTTCGAATCCGGCGTACACCAATGAATATTTTCAATATTTAAGTGTATTATTCTGCTCAGCCCAAGAAATACAAACGAGTTCCAATCTCAAAAGTGTACCCCCTACCGTAGTCGCTCATGACCTTAGTAGTTTATGCGACTTTAAACAAATTAAAAAAAAAAAAAAAAAAAAAAAATAATAAAATTATATTTTTTTGTACAAAAAAAAATGATAAAATACCATGATAAAACTTTTAAATTACTGAAATTGTTAGAAAATATTCTCTTGGCTCTATTAAATTACAGAAAAACAAAGCTTCACAGGAACAATAAATGAAAGGGAAAAAAAAATCCAAACACTCAAATATAATTTATGCTGATAAATAAAGTTAAACCGGGTAGTAATTGAATTAAAATTAATTTAACTGACAAGTTCTCGAACAATAAATCGAATACTGAATATTGCATTGTGCTTGCACCTGGTCTGAAGAAAATAATAACTAATGAATTTAAAAGACAAAGACAGCCCCGTAGCTCGATCGCTAAAGTACGCTCCAGTAATTATTAATTAATAATTGATGCATTTACGTCCCGATAAATATTTTAATGGATCGATCCTTTTCTGAGTGAAGAAAATAAAGACCAAATTTGTAATAACGCACTTTGCTGCGCTCCATTCACCGGACGGTATTTATTGATGTTCAATAACACTCTCCATCCCAGCGAAGCAACCCGACTCGTTAAATTTATTCGCCAATTAGTAAAAACAGCCAACACTTTGTTATCTGTTGACAATTAATAAACTAAACACTGTTCAATTTAAAGAGTGTTTTTCGGATAAAAATGCTTAAAAATAACGCGTGGAGCTGTCGGGTTTTGTTTTTACAGAATCACAGTCCCTTTCATGTCGCTCAAAGACTATTATATAACCAAACATAATTTGCTAACAGAGGAATTTACAGTATACAACATAGGCATGGGTCAGCGCCGATGGATTTAATTAGAGAGTAGACGTCAAACGGTCAATGGGCGTGAATATTCTTGGACCCTTGTGAGCTTGTCTATGTCTCGTACCTATGTCACTAAATTGACCTGCTCTTTCGCTTTATCTTTAAGTTACATTACATAAAATGGGACGTGGTAGAGATAGCGGCTAACTACTGCCTTGTGGTTTCTATCAGATACTATTATAGTGACCTTACATCTATCGATTGGTGAAAAAATTCCAAGAAATCCAAGTTTTAGAAGGATCAAAAATTGCTTGAAATTTTTGAAGAATATTGAGCTTTTTTTGTCTGAATAATTTAATTGATAAAAAAAAATTTTTGGACTATTTCAATTAAACAAAAAATTTTTTGATTCAATACAAAAGAATTTAAAAAATTTTTTTGATTTAAAATTATGAAATTTAAAAAAATGTTTTGATTCAAAAAATTTCTTTAAATTTTTAATCTAGAAGAATAAAATACTTCAAATAAAGAAGATACAATTTTTTACAATGATTTTTTTGATTCAAGATTATTTTTTTTTAAATCAAAATGATTTTTACACTTTATTGAAATTATTCATTAGGTCACATATTTGCATCAACTTGAGCACCCTTAAGTTCAAAATTAACTTGTTAAAATCCAAACAAAACAACAAATCAAATACAAAATAATCTCATCGGAAACTGTTAAAAGTTTTAATTGCAGAGTTGAAAGACAATAAATGTATTCTGTCAACAAAATATCTTTTGAGCTGTTTACTGTTAAACTTGGAGTCTAAATTCGCTTGACTGCTCTCCTCCAAAAATTTCATCTAATCGTAATTCCTTAGGCTGTTGTTTACCAAATAAAGTACTAGTTGACGGATTTGATCTCCTATCCTGTCTCAATCAATATGAAAAACACACTGACAATAAACGGTATTAAGCCTTTGTCAAAGTTATCCCTGAATTGTCTTTGTTAAAATTTTCTGGAACACGTAAACATCTGAAAGAAGTATTGTGTAGTTGTTTTAAAAATAATAAAAATAAAAGTTGTGCTTTAAGAAAGTGTAGACAAAGTAGATTTAAAGAGCGCTTATTTGTTTGACTGTTCTCACGACAACGCTCTTTCCGGAGGGAACAAGACTAGAGAGAGAGAATGTCTTGTCACGCTAAAGCACGAATTTCGTGACCAGAATCATATGCCAAGCTAGCTCGAGATGACACTAAAAAACCCAAGGAAAAATAATGCCGGAAAATAGATGAAACCCTCCAGCAAACTTTTACTTTTACTTTTGCTTATATTTTACTTTTTTCAACAATTACAGGCTGTTTTCTTTTAAGAAATAGTGGGAAGCACTTTTTTTCCCCGTTTTCACGCTCTCAGTTCCAAACTCTCTCATTAATAATTTAACTCAGATGAAATGAAGAAAAAGTACTGCTAAGAGCTTTTGTTTTTTGCAGACAATAAGAAAAGTTTGGTAAATCCTAATGTGTGTGCCTAAAGCTCTTTTTTTATGACAAAAATTATTTAAATAAAAAAAAAACTTTAAGTATGTTCTAAATTTGAAGATTTCTTCTTGAGTTAAAATTGAAAAAAATTTGTTCCAAAGGCTATAATGCTTAAAACCACAACAAAGTTCTCTGTGATGAATTAACGTGTGCATATTGATGTAATTTACAGTTACTGAGCTCAATTGTCGTTGTGGGAGGCACTAACGTTGCTGGAGCACTGACACATCACCCCAGAGAATTAGCACAGCGGCAAGCGTTCTTAGAAACAAGGCAGTGTGTGGAAGCGCGGCTCACTACTCAAAGAGAAAATCAGCAACAGGTATGTGTTCTAAACTGCTTTACTAGTTTCATTTTCTTCATAATAATAATAATAATAATAATAATAATTATAATGACAATAATAATGATAATAACCGTTAACACTATTGTTTTCACCTATGCTCAAATAATTAATTTTATTGTTTTATTATTATTTTGATCTTTAAAAAATCTGCGACATCAATCTGCATAATTTGGACTGAAAAGTTGGGGGATAAATTTAACATTCAAATGTTGTAGGCGTCAGAATTTTCATATTGAATTTTTTTATCTTTTGCACATGATTCAAATAAAATTTTATTATATCATCACGTCAATTCTTCGAAAGATTTTTCATGAAGATGATACTTTATTTTTTTACCCCAATGAAAATTTACTTTTTATTTATTTAGTAAAGAATATATTTCTTCTTTTTGCGCTACTGAAAGAACAAGTGATAAAATTTATCATTTAATGATCGAGGGGTCCTTTTCACAATTCATAGCAAGGGGTATCGTCCAACTGAATGTAAAGTCAAAAACCCTCTTGAAGTCTGCAGTGTCAAGAGTCACGTCCATCACATAGTCACCACAAGGAATCGGCTTGTTGAAGTGAAGAGTATGTTGATCTAATTTATAGAAAACAGTTTGATACGTGCCCTAAGAAGAAATATGGTTGTTAGAATAATAATAGAGATGTGTAATTTTTAAAGAAAGAAATTAATGAAGTATATCCCCCATGAAAAAAAAAAATATATGTCGAAATACATAAAAAATATATTAAAAATCTATAGAAAATATGTAAATATATATAAATTATGTATAGTAAATATATTTTTAATAACTAACTTTTGGCCGATTTTTATATATATTTTATATATTTCAAATATATTTTAGATATATTTAAAATATATTTTTTTTTATGTATTTTAAGATATATCTTGAATATATCTAAAATATATTTAAAAATATAAAATATATATGAAAATCGGCCAAAAGTTAGTTATTAAAAATATATTAACTATACATTTTTTTATATATTTATATATGTTTTATAAATTTTTAATGTATTTAAAATGTTTTTTTTATATTTGTTTTTCATGGGGAATATTAGAGATTTGGATACAATACCTTCGCTACCGGACATTCGAGGTGACCCAAAACGGTAGCAGACACAATTTTAGAAACGTTTTCTTCAACAGATCCAGCTGGATAAGAACTATTGCAAAGGTTATTTATCGCATTTTTGGTTTTCGAGTCCCAGATTTGGATGTCTTTGATACTGATGTTAGCTTTCAGCTTGAAAAGGGACATCAGATATCAGAATACCGATTATTAAGAAACAATTTGTCATGATAAGACTTACGATTGTCAAGGCGTTGTCGCTGTCCATTGATTCAATAAAAGATATGTATGTATCTTTCGTTAAAACGTCGGTTGATTTTATCAAATTATTGGTGTAAGGTTTCAAAAAATCTCTTGTAATGTTCACAGTATAAAATTGGTCATCTGCAATTATTTTCTATTAAAAAAAAAATTATCAATCAATTGATCAAAAAATCATTTCAAATGTTTTACCTTGATATTCAAGATTTGGATGACCATAAAAAGTACAAAAGTAAAAAACGTCATTTCATTTGAAATATTTTTGCGGTCTGTTCTAGACTTTTGAAGAAAAAAGTATGCTATTAGTTTCTATATCTTTAATCATGGATCTTTAAATTTATTTATATCACGCAAACTTTATCAAGTTATTGTTTCTTCATTATTCATGTTCACTGTCCAATTATATTTATCGATAATTATTAAAGTTGAATATTGATGACGCATGAGCTGTCTTATCGGTAATTACTCCAAAGTGCATAAGTTTCGCATGAATAAGTTTATCGATTAACATGATGTTTGCTGTCGAAGAAGACATGAAATATCTGATAATTATAATTTTGTTTTATACTGAATATATTTATTTACAGATATAGTGTATTATACATCTTGAAATTTCTTCTTTCTAAATATAAATCCAGTAAATGAAGGTTTACTACTAAACAATAACTTAACTGTAACAAGTTTCAGAAACATTTATTTTTTATTGTAAGCACAGTACAGTAATAAGATAATAATATGAATATTAATAATTAATTTTACATAGTTTGTCGGTACATGTTTCTTTTTTTAAATTTTGAATTCAAGCTGAGAATCGAGTACGCATTTTTCAACCAGAGGTGCCGATATTTTCCACATGTTAATTTTTAAACAAATACGACAGATTGCATACTCTTCACTGACATATACAGTATATTTATACCTCTTTGTCATCTTCTTGTACTTTTATTACTCGTTAAAACTCATGGACGGTACACATGGAATTTTCGTCGACAACAAAATTGAAGTACAGCCCCAAAGCCCATTTACCATCAGGGGTATCAAAATCCATGTGCACCGTGTAGTTTCCGTACTCCAATGGATCATTAAACGTAAGCTCCGTTCCTCTCAGCCACTTTCGAAACGTGTAACCGCTTCCCTGGAAAAATTATAAATTTTTCAGCCACGATACAGAAAATTAATTATACTGATTAACAGTGAGTGTTGAAGGATTACTTTTTCTACAGGACATCCTTTACCAGCCATGACCTCTAAATTGATAATTTTCCAAATATTGGCTTCAATTGATCCTTCTGGATATGAATCATCACAAATATTAGTCATTTTTTTTTTTTTCAGGTTTTGAATCATAAATAGATTTCTTATTTACGGAGATATCAGCTTGGTACTGTAATTTAAAGAAAAAAATTATAATAAGAAAAAAATTGAAAATACATAATCAAACATCGGAACTGGAAGACAATTACAAATTGAAGTGCATTGCTCATGTTCATTGTTTGATAGAATTCAGCAGGTGCATCAGCGTTTCCAAGTGGAGCAGCCGTTAAAAAATTATTCTGGGGCGGCATTATTATACCTCTTTTTATATCTAGGTGATAACCGTAAAAATATTTTCCTGGTAAATATCCACCTGATGCTTCATCTAGTGCTTTATCTTTTCCTTTAAATATATCCAACAATCCTCCGTGTACCATGGCCTTGTAAATAAATTCAAAGTACTTAGCATACGATTATAATAAATAGAAATACTTAGACTAATTATCTTCTTACTTTTTGATCAATGACCACACACAATACCAAAATCGCAGCGGCGGAAATTTTCATTGCTACTCGGGACTACAAAAAATAATATTTCGACTTTTCGGTGTGAAAATGGACAATTTTATTGTATTACAATGTTAAAGAATTATACCACGACTTTCTAAAATGGTTTAGTCTTATCTACTGACGCTACAATTTAAAAAATTCATAACTTGTTGGCTTATTACCCGAATACTACTAAATTGAACGATATTCGTCAACATTTTTATTGATTAAACGTAATTGTCGTTCGCTTGTGAACGATAAAGTTTTCACGTCCATCATAGTTTTAAAAAATTTCGTTCGAAAATAAAGATTCATTTAACAATATTTGATACTTTTCAAATACTTATTAAATGTAAATAATCTTTAATAATATTTCTTCTCATTAATTTATACGTTTTCTTATTCATTTTATACACTGATAAAAAATTTATGTTGACTCAAGAGATATTTTCTTGATCTAAGAATTTATTTTGGAAGACAAATGATTATTTTGCTTTAAGAATTTCTTATCTTGATTTAGATTTTCTTGGCTTAAGAGCTATATTATCTTCAATCGATACATTTAAGTTTTTCAATCAAAATAACATTATCGTTTAAAAAACTTAAAATAATTCATCAAAGTATATTTCAATAACTAAATAGTCTTTAATTGTTATACCAAATGAAAATTATTTCTTGGAAATAAGTAAACTAATGACTCAAAAAAAAGCCATTCTTAACACAAGTCGGTAACATCTTGAATCAATGATATCGCCTATCTTGAACCAAGAGACAAAAATTCTTGAAATAAATATATTTATCTCTAGTTTCAAAAGTTCAAGTTTTGAATAAAAAAAATTTCTTGAATGAAGATTGTTTTTCTATCAGTGTATCATAGTAGATAATTATAATTTTAGATTGATTAATCAATTATATGAGCTTTTTTGGATCCACTCAAAATATAATAACACAAAAAAAATTTCTAAAATATAAATATAATAAACAACGAAAAGCTATTTTTTTTAATTTGAACTGTATAAATAATTGTTTTTTATAAATAACTTTAAGATATTTTTAACTATACTTTTAATACATTTAATTTTATTGAAATACATGTAATACAACATATAAACGTTGTGAATTCAAAACTGCATAATTTTTTTTTGTTTTTTTTTTTTTATTTTGAATTTAAGTTGAGAATCGAGTGCGCATTTTTTAACCAAAGGTGCCAATATCTTTTACGTGTTAATTTTTCAACAAATACGACAGCTTGCAAACTCTTCACTGATATCTAAAATATTGGTTCTTGAGGTTCTTCTTCCTCTCTACACTCAGAAGGACTATCTAACTTAAAGTAGAAGTAAATAGCTCCAGCCCAAGTCCCATCAGGTGCTGCCAAGTCTAGGTGCGCAGTGTAATCACCAGGTTCTAATCGTCTGTTTATCTTGATCTGCACATCATCCAGTTTCTTAGGGAACGTCTTAATGCTTCCCTAAAAATCAAAGTGTTTATTATGAATTAGCTATTAAATTACATTAATGATTAGCAAATATCGTGAATATGCGCCTACTCCTTCGACAGGACATCCTTGGCCTTTTAGAATTCCCAAATTAAACATATGCCAAATATTAGCTTGGAAAGATCCCTCGGGATATGAATCTTCGCAGGCATTTGTCATTTCTTCAGATATTGATTCATAAATGAACCCACCATCAACTTTCATATCAGCTCCGTTCTTAATTCATGAAAAAAGTATCACAATTGATTATCGTAAAATTATTAAGTGATGTAATAATACTAAACATGTAAGTAAATTTTTAATTACAATTTTAAAAGCGTTATCCTTGTCCATAGGTTTGTTTAGAACACCCATGAAAATTGGTATTTTTACTACTTGGACATCCATATCGATTATATAACATTGCTCTGATTCTTCTTCAGACTCTTCTGACTCTTCAGGTGCTTCCGTTGATTCTTCGGACTCTTCTAATTCTTCAAGTGCTTCTGTTGATTCGTCAGAACTTTCGCTCTCAGTGCACTCAGAATTTTCGTCTACTACAAACTCAAACTCCAGTTTCAACGCCCAGGCACCTTGAGGTGTATCGAAATCCACTAGCAAGGTGTAATTTCCATACTCCAATGGCTCATCAAACATAAGCTCCGTTCCTCTAAGCCATTGTGGGAACGTGTAACCGCTTCCCTGTAAAAATAACAAATCTTTCGGTTACGAATCAGAAAATGAATTATACTGATTAACAGTGAGTATTGAAAAATTACTTTCTCTACAGGACATCCTTCACCGGCCATGACTTCTAAATTAATAATTTTCCAAATATTGGCTTCAATTGATCCTTCTGGATATGAATCATCGCAAGCATTTGTCATTTTTTTTTCAGGTTTTGATTCATAGATAAGTTTTTTTTCTAAGTTGATTGTAGCACTGTACTGTAATTTAAAGAAAAGGGTTATGATAAAAAAAAAATAAAAACATAATAAAATATCAGAATCGGAAGACAATTACAAATTGAAGTGCATTGCTCATGTTCATTGTTTGATAGAATTCAGCAGGTGCATCAGCGTTTCCGACTGGAGAAACCGTTAAGAAATTATTTGTGGGTGACATTATTACATCTCTATCTATATCTACTCGATAACAGTAAGAATTTGTTCCCGGTGCTTCTTCAGGTGCTTCCGTTGATTCTTCAGACTCTTTTGACTCTTCAGGTGCTTCTGTTGATTCTTCAGACTCTTCTGACTCTTCAGGTGCTTCAGTTGATTCTTCAGACTCTTCTGATTCTTCAGGTGCTTCCGTTGATTCATTAAAATTTTCTTCACCAGTGCATACAGAATTTTCATCTACTACAAAATAAAAGATCAGTTTCAACGCCCAGGCACCTTGAGGTGTATCGAAATCCGTTTCTAACGAGTAATTGCCGTAATCCAATGGTTCATTAAACGTGACCTCTATTCCTCTGAGCCATTGTGGGAACGTGTAACCGCTTCCCTGTAAAAATAACAAATCTTTCAGTTACGAATCAGAAAATGAATTATACTGATTAACAGTGAGTATTGAAAAATTACTTTCTCTACAGGACATCCTTCACCGGCCATGACTTCTAAATTGATAATTTTCCAAATATTGGCTTCAATTGATCCTTCCGGATATGAATCATCGCAAGCATTTGTCATTTTTTTTTCAGGTTTTGATTCATAGATAAGTTTTTTTTCTAAGTTGATTGTAGCACTGTACTGTAATTTAAAGAAAAGGATTATGGTAACAAAAACTGTGAAAATACATAATAAAATATCAGAATCGGAAGACAATTACAAATTGAAGTGCATTGCTCATGTTCATTGTTTGATAGAATTCAGCAGGTGCATCAACGTTTCCGACTGGAGAAACCGTTAAGAAATTATTTGTGGGTGAGAATATTACATCTCTATCTATATCTATTCGATAACAGTAAGAATTTGTTCCCGGTGCTTTTTCAGGTGCTTCCGTTAATTCTTCAGACTCTTCTGACTCTTCAGGTGCTTCAGTTGATTCTTCGGACTCCTCTAATCCGTCATCTTTAACTGGTTCCATTGGTTCTTGAGGTTTTTCTTCCTCTCTACAATCAGAAGGACCATCTAACTTAAAGTAGAAGTAAATAGCTCCAGCCCAAGTCCCATCAGGTGCTGCCAAGTCTAGGTTCGCAGTGTAATCACCAGGTTCTAATCGCTTGTTTATCTTGAGCTGCACATCATCCAGCTTCTTAGGGAACGTGTCAATTCTTCCCTAAAAATCAACGTGTTTATTATGAATTAGCTATTAAATTACATTAATGATTAGCAAATATTGTGAATATGCGCCTACTCCTTCGACAGGACATCCTTGGCCTTTTAGAATTCCCAAATTGAACATATGCCAAATATTAGCTTGGAAAGATCCCTCCGGATATGAATCTTCGCAGGCATTTGTCATTTCTTCAGATATTGATTCATAAATAAACTCACCATCAACTTTCATACCAACTCCGTTCTTAATTCATGAAAAAAGTATCACAACTGATTATCTTAAAATTATTAAGTGATGTAATAATATTAAACATGTAGGTAAATTTTTAATTACAATTTTAAAAGCGTTATCCTTGTCCATAGGCTTGTTTAGAACATCCATGAAAATTGGTATTTTTACTACTTGGACATCCATATCGACTACATAACATTGCTCTGATTCTTCTTCAGACTCTTCTAATTCTTCAGGTGCTTTTGTTGATTCTTCAGACTTTTCTGACTCTTCAGGTGCTTCAGTTGATTCTTCGGACTCTTCTGATTCTTCAGGTGCTTTTGTTGATTCCTCAGACTCTTCTGACACTTCAGGTGCTTCAGTTGATTCTTCGGACTCTTCTGATTCTTCAGGTGCTTCCGTTGATTCCTCAGACTCTTCTGACACTTCAGGTGCTTCAGTTGATTCTTCAGACTCTTCTGATTCTTCAGGTGCTTCCGTTGATTCTTTAAAATTTTCTCCACCAGTGCATACAGAATTTTCATCTACTACAAAATAAAAGATCAGTGTCAACGCCCAGGCACCTTGAGGTGTATCGAAATCCGTTTCTAACGAGTAATTTCCGTAATCCAATGGCTCATCAAACATAAGCTCCGTTCCTCTAAGCCATTGTGGGAACGTGTAACCGCTTCCCTGTAAAAATAACAAATCTTTCAGTTACAAATCAGAAAATGAATTATACTGATTAACAGTGAGTATTGAAAAATTACTTTCTCTACAGGACATCCTTCACCGGCCATGACTTCTAAATTGATAATTTTCCAAATATTGGCTTCAATTGATCCTTCCGGATATGAATCATCGCAAGCATTTGTCATTTTTTTTTCAGGTTTTGATTCATAGATAAGTTTTTTTTCTAAGTTGATTGTAGCACTGTACTGTAATTTAAAGAAAAGGATTATGGTAACAAAAACTGTGAAAATACATAATAAAATATCAGAATCGGAAGACAATTACAAATTGAAGTGCATTGCTCATGTTCATTGTTTGATAGAATTCAGCAGGTGCATCAACGTTTCCGACTGGAGAAACCGTTAAGAAATTATTTGTGGGTGACAATATTACATCTCTATCTATATCTATTCGATAACAGTAAGAATTTGTTCCCGGTGCTTTTTCAGGTGCTTCCGTTGATTCTTCAGACTCTTCTGACTCTTCAGGTGCTTCTGTTGATTCTTCAGACTCTTCCGATTCTTCAGGGGCTTCAGTTGATTCTTCATACTCTTCTGACTTTTCAGGTGCTTCTGTTGATTCTTCAAATTCTTCTTCTGGAGGCTCTGGCTCATAGCAATTAACTCCTGGGATCTAGAATTCCATTCATCATATTTATTAACATCGAAAAATCGATAGAAGCTTTCTTAATTTAAAAATTCCTAATAGTTTGTATTGCTGAAATAACGAATTAATCTTTTTAAACTTACAATTACGGAAATTTTCTCAAAAACATTGTCTTTATTGCGGTTTCCTGGAGCGACTTTATTAGACGTATCTGTACCTCCTAAAGATCCTTGGAGGTCTTGTTGACGTAAATCTGCGCAAAGAGGTAAAGTTGTAACATCAACTTCTTCTTCTTCTTCTTCTTCTTCTTCTTCTTCTTCTTCTTCTTCTTCAGAAGATTCTTCTTCTTCTTCTTCTTCTTTAGAAGATTCTTCTTCAGGCGAATTTTCGTCTTCAGAAGACTCTTGCTCTTCTGAAGGATCTTGTTCTTCATTAGGTTTTTCTTCAGGCGGATTATCAGTTTCAACGCAATTCACCCCCGGCATCTTTGATTTACATTAAAAAAAATTTGTGATATCAAAAACATTGTTCAAAAAATATATATGAAAAATAAATTTTTTCTTACTGCAAGACTTCCACCAAAATTAGCTCCACCACTAACTCTGAAACCACCAAAACCAGCAGATCCTCCACCGCCTACGGACCCTTGGGTATCAAATTTTCTGATGCAGTCACAAGATGGCAAATTAACCCCTGCATTGACACCTCCCTGTATCCCTCCAGATGTTGAAGCTCCAATGTTGCCATTTACATTCCCTCCAACACTACATTCTGATAAAATGTTCCCTGGCAATTTTATATTACCCGATAGTCCTCCTGAAAATCCACCTGATCCTTCACCAGATGCTTCATCTGGTGTTTTATCTTTTCCTCTAAATATATCGAACAATCCTCCTTGTACCGTGGCCTTGTAAATAAATTAAAAGTACTTAGCATAAGTTTATAATAAATAGAAAATACTTAGGCTAATTATCTTCTTACTTTTTGATCAATTACCACACACAATATCAAAATTGCAGCGGCGAAAATTTTCATTGCTACTCGGGACTACAAAAAATAATATTTCGACTTCTCGGTGAGAAAATGGATAATTATTTTGTCCTGTAATGTTGAAGAACTATACGACGACTTTCTAATATTGTGCAGTCTTATCCACTGTCGCTACAATTTAAAAAATTGATAACTTGTTGACTTATTACCGAATACTTCCCAATTAAATGTTACTGATAAACATAAAACGTAATTGTCGTTCGCTTGTTAACGATAAAGATTTCACGGTCATCATAGTTTCAAGCAATTTTGTTAGAAAATAAATATTTATTCAACAATATTTTACATTTTTTAATTTAAGTATTTATGATTAAATGGAAATAATCTTTAATAATATTTCTTTTCATTAATTTATACGATCTCTTATTCATGTTATATCATACACAGTAGATAATTATAATTTTAGATTGATTAATCAATTATGTGAGCTTCTTTGGATCCCACTCACAATTTAATAACACAAAAAAAGCTTATAGAGTATAAATATAATGAACGAAAAGCTATTTTTTGAAATTTGAACTGTGTAAATAATTATTTTTTAATAATAACTGTGAAATAATATTTTGAAAATAATTAAAGTAATAATTCTTAGGTAATATTATTAGGTCTTGTGAAGATAAAATAAATCAAAATTTCAAAATTTTGCTACTCTGAAGTTTTGACATTAAAGCGGTGTTTAAATATTTATCGGATATTTTTAATAATACTTGTAATTCATGTTTGATAATATTTATAATTAATATCTTTATTTACTGTTATTGAAATACATATAATATAAAATATAAACGTTGTGAATTTAAAATTACATAAATGTTTTATATTTTTTCATTTTTTACACGAATTAGAATTATTACAAAACTATTAAATATTAATTGCATTTACGTCATTGTAATTATAAGCCAATTAAAAATGCAAATGCTTACCGCTGATAAAAAAAAATTATTTTTTAAGAATAAAACAACCGAGTAAGCGAATAAAATATTATCATATAAAGTTCAATTAGACTTTTAGTTATTATTATTAAATATTAAGGATGATATTTATCTCATTGACAAGAAAAATCTTTGAATTGATAAATCTGCTCCTCGATTTCAAATAGAAGCTTAGTACCTTTATCAAAAACTTTGCGTTTCTCAATGTTGCTGATGATTACCGTATTTACAACATAAAACAAAGATGAATACATCTCTCTCGAAAACTGCAATTATAAACATTTGATGAGAGAAGAGAGAATTCGTAATAAGGACAGTGGAATAGAACTGAGATGATGTAAATTCCAATGTGAGATCATCGTGGTGGAAACAGCTCTTGCAGTTTGATTTTAGCTTCCTGGGGACTTAGGTAGACGGAATTTGTGATGTTGATGTGTTAATATCTCTTATCCCGGTTCCAATGTAAGGGATTACTGTTTTCTTCATTAATATTTATGTCATTCAATACACTTTCAACATGTTGAATGTCACTTAGTACGATAAAGAAAAAAAAAAATTATTAAGCCTAGAGAAAAAAAAATTTCTTTGAAATTTTTTTTTTGAACTAAAATTAAAATTTTTATTTAATTGAAGCTAAAAATTTTTCGCAAAGAAATTAATTTTGTGAAAGATATTTTTTTTTTTAACAAATATTCTTTATTTAAGAAAACTTTGTTTTTTATTAAAATAATAAGAAATTTTTTTAAACAAGTACTTTTACTGTTGAATGAAGCAATGAAAATTTTAATCCTAAAAATTTTGTTTCAAAAATTTACAATTCAAAAAATTATTTTACTTTGTTCAAAAATTTTTCGATGTTTAAAGCTTTAAAAAATTAATTCCATCAAGAAAAATTGTCTTAAGTTAAATTAAATTTTTTTTTGTACAGCAAATTTAAAAAATTAAGAATAATATAGATTTTATTTGTATCACTTTTTACATTTAGTATTTTACAAAGTATAATTTATTTATTTTTTATACTATAAAAATATTAATTAGTAAAATTATAAATATTTTTCAGGAAAGACTGCTATTGAGTGTTTTGCCGCGGCATGTAGCTGTGGAAATGAAAGCCGACATTGCTGGCAAACCCAAGGATAGTATGTTCCATAAAATTTACATCCAACGACACGAGAACGTCAGGTAAAGTAAAACACAAGAAAAATCGATTAAATTTCATCCAATATAATGAATTTTAAAGGAAAATCATTATCGAGAGTAATTGTAAAAAATACAATAGGTTGAATAGATGAAGAAAATTGCGAAGGTTTGTTTTCAGTTGCTCATGAGTGCGCTGGGGAATCAGCGATTCAATTTGCTGAATAAATAACTGTTGGACTTAATATTTAAGTTAGTGTAGTATGGATTCTGATGAATCGATGGAACGCCAGCTATAGATCTCTGGCTCAAGATCAATATCGAATACCGGGAATGTATTTTATTTACCATTTCTTTTCGCTGGATAAATTAAATATATATTATTCTTCTCTTTGAGTAGTTTACCGTATTCTGAAAGGTTTGCCGACGTAATTTCAAGACAAACAATCACAAACGTATTTTGAATAATGGGAAATGTCAGATGCATTTTTATACAGCACACTTGACTTACTCTGGCTTTCAATCGCGTCTTCTTATTTTCGGTGACTTACCTGATACGCTTTAAAATAATCCATTTTAAATAATGCATGTTACATTTATTTATTTATGTTATTTTAATGGTCGTCAAAAGAAGAAAGGAAAAGGAATTTAAGAAGAAATAATAAAAATTTGGTTTATTGATGTCATTTTTATTAATTTAAATTTTTTAATCGCAATTCTTTCTAAAATGCAAAAATTTTTATTTTATAAAAATTTTAAATTTAATAAAAAGTTTTAATTTCTCTCTAGAAAAAATTTTAAATAAATAAATTAATATTATTTCCAATCTATTGCTCACGGTAATTGAAATTGAAATTACATAAATAAATCCATAGAGTAAAATGTAAATAATCAAGAGATGAAATATCAAAATTAATATCTGCAATGAATGAATTAATTATAATAAAAAAAAAAAATATCCCTGTTAGTGTAAATTGATTTAATAAATGATAAATTACAAAGTTAAATTGATGATTATCCATTAGCAAAGCTAATTAATGATCAAATTAATGAATAAATAAAATTAATGTGGTGAACCTTGTTTCAGTATTCTATTTGCCGATATTTGTGGATTTACGTCATTATCTGACCAATGTACAGCTGAAGAACTTGTACGATTGCTTAACGAACTTTTTGCAAGGTAAGATATCTATATTATTAAGAGAAGAAGCAAAATTTTGTGGCCAGTGTATTTATATGATAAAATGGGTTTTTATGGTTAAATTTGGTATTGTTGAAAAGGTCTTGACCTGAAGTTGTGCCTTTTCAAGGTTTCATATCATTCTCACCAATAGTCAATTTAATATGATAAGTATTTTGGCTGCATTCGAAAATGCTCTATCTCTAGATACATAATTAAGAAATGACCTTGTATCTCGTGAACTATTGACATTTTTAAAGATATAAGCTCATCCTGATGTTACACTCATCAAGACCTTTCATTCAAGTACCCACATCATTTTTTCATATATTTATATATATTATGTATATGTATATATGAAAAATATATCAAAATGCATGTGGGTACTCAAATGAAAGCTCTTGATGATTGTAACATCAGGATGAGCTTATATCTTTAAAAACTTCAATAGTTAAAAAATGACATTGAATCTTGTCATCTAATGATATTTTTAAAGATATAAGCTCACCCCGACATTGCAGTTACCGAGACCTTTCATTTAAGTACCCAGATTAATTTTTCATATATTTTATATATTTATATATATTACATATATGTATATATGAAAAATATATCAAAATGCATGTGGGTACTCAAATGAAAGCTGTTGATGAGTGTAACATCGGGATGAGCTTATATCTTTAAAAACATCAATAGTTAAGAAAGTACAGTGCAATTTAACAAAATTATTTAATTCAAGCAAAATTTTATTTATTTATAGTTCACAAGTCACGGTAGTCACATAGTGACTGCAAGATTGCTAGTTTTTATTTACTTTATTTATTATACAAGAAGCTATACCCAAATGAAGTTCATTAAAAGTCTAATCCGTAGATGTTATAATAAAAAAAATAAGAGCAACAATAAAAGACCCAAGCAATAACCCAAAAAAAGTTTGTCTTTGTGTGACTAAATGTAATTGAAAGTTTTACCATACAAACGAGCATGTTTTTCAGCTATATAAAAGTCTATCCAACTCGGTTTATTGACAAAACGAGAAGAAACCTCCTAAGTAAAATACAATTATTATAAAAGTTTAATCAGAGGAACCCAATATAGTTATTTTTGTTCTATAAATTGTTTTATTTGGATGAGAGTGGATGTAATTGATATATATTAGTATATGAATTGAGTCAATCATCCTGCGGTTGACTGACGGAAAATAAATCACAAAACAAATCTATAAATAGATAAATATCATGTATATCATATTGGAAAATGTCGTGTTTGGATTATATAATTAAATTGTATACAGAGAAGGTATTTCACCGGATTTATACTGTACGTACTTATTGAATATATTTCAGTAACAAATATTCATGAATATTATTGTAGGATACCAGATGGAACATGAAATTTACGTAATAAAATTTTACCGAGCGATACAATTGTGATGAATATTAATTCCGAGATATCCTGTTGAAGCTCAATGAGAGTTGAGCCTGCAGACTTGTTGGAATATTAATTAATCAGTTATCATTTAATATAGGAGTTTGATTGAATTAAATTCACCGTTTATAGCTTTATCAAAGTCTTATAAATTAAATTTATGATTTTTTATGCATAAGGATGATATCTAGGTATGAAAAAAAATTTTTTTTTTATATTTTAATGACTAAGTCTTGGAAATTTGGATAATAAGTGAAGATGTTAAATTATAGGAATTATAGCTTCATCAGGCAAACTAAAAATAAAAAAAAAAATTTTTTTTAGTTAATACAAATATTTGATATATAAAAAAAAAATAAATTGAAATAACAATAGTTACTCTTATGGTTAGCAAGTTGTTAAAAAAAAAATTTTTAAGATTATGATTATGCTGTTTTATTTTATTACATCTATTGATTTTGTAAAAACGAGACTAGGATATTAACCATAAGAGTAACTTTTGTTATTTTAATTTATTTTGTTTTATATGTCAAATATTTGTATTAACTAAAAATAATTTTTTTTTTTCCTATAATTTAACATCTTCAATTATTGTCCAAATTTCCAAGATTTAGTCATTTAAATATTTATAAATATGAACGAGAACTTAAATTTTAATTTGTTTTTCATTTTTTTCAGTGACCCGAATTTAAAAAAGAAATTTTTAAAACTGACCATTTATTCCATTTAATTTTTTTATATAAAACAAAAGAAAATGTAATATTATCCTGGGCACAGAAAAAAAATTATACGATACTTTAATTATTATTTCAACATTTTTTATTCCTCTGAACGTAACAAAAAAATCTCGAATTATTCATAAACCAAAGGTAATAAATAGGAATATAAACTATAAAATGTTTTTCGTTTTTTGTGAATATTGTACCGGTGCGATGTCAAGAGTTGATAAAGTTAAAGGGCTGGAAAAAATAAAAAAAAAATAAAAAGCCGGGAGAGATACGATTACTCTTGATGCAACAAGAGCTAGTATCGAGATGAAATAAAATAAAACAAAAACTAAGCCACTGATAGTGAAAATAAACGATACGAAATTGAAAAGGTTGCGGTACTTGAAAGTATTATCGATGAAAATTTAATTGGTATTTTGCAGTTTTAAATTCTAGCTATTGAAAGGTTTCAATGAGACAGACGCTAAGAAAGCGAAAGGCTCCGGACAATTGACTCAGTAAGTCGTTTAGTTTAGTTGAAGTAAAATATAAAATAAATTGAGGCGTAAGTGCTTAAGACGCTGTGAAATTCCAACAAAGAATTTAAAAAATTTATTTAGTTTTATTTTTTCCAATTACAGATCATTGATTATTGATTCACCGAGTCGCAATTTAGTTTCTGATATTATTATTATTTTTATTGCTATAGAACAGAATAAAAAGAAAATTTTTCTCTGCTCCTTGAATAATAATTACTTGGAGTCATGCGATATCGCACATAAATGTAATCCCTATTTTTTAATCTTACTCCGCACAACTGAAGAACTCCATTCTTAGGTTTTTCTTTGAAAGTTTATCTCTCGAGTACAAGAAAAAAATTATCATCCAACTTGGAGCGGTTATACAAAGAAAATAATAATAATAATAATAATAATATTAAAGTTAAATAAATGTATGTTTGAATGAAAATACTCTGAAGTCGCGCAAAAAATTTCATTATATTCTGCTCTACGTCAGAGTATTGAAAAAAGAAGTAATTACTGGACGTGAATACACTAAAGTCGAATTCTGATTATATTTCATTTCCCTTAATTTAATATTCTATTTTATTTGCTTTATTTTAGAATTTAATTAACGCTCGGTGCTTCGAATTTATTGATAAATAGATCAAGGACGAGATTTGAATTAACAAATAATCATCATTATCGGCTCCTTTTATCTCGAAAATTTCAATCTCACTTATCTTCAACTTGAATTTTTAATTCAATTTCAAAACAAAATCCCCGTGAAACTAATTACGCAAATTACTTCCGATATTTGAATACGAATTATAGATTAAACATAGTTTCTTCTTAAATTTAGTTAGAGAGTTAGTCTAAAAGGAGATTAAACTATCTTTTAAGATAAAACTCAAGATGTTTTTATTACTTGTTTCAAAATTTACATATATACTTTTTATCAAAAGAGCACTTAGGATAAATTTAGTCTAAATTTCTATCTTAATCCTGATAATTCAAAATAAAGTTTTAAAAACTTACATTTTGCAAATATATTTTTTTACCAAATATTTTTCCACTCAGATATTTATCCCTGATTAAGAAATCTAATTTAAAATTTAATTTATAGTATATCTATATATTAGTTAACTCATATAATTTTGAATTGTTTTTAATTATTTCAAATTAGATTTCTTAATCAGGGTCAACTCAAAAATCAACATATTAAATCAAATAAATTGTACAAAAAAAATAACACACACCATTTTAGCTAAGAATAGAATAGTATGATAATTATGAAAAGTGTTCAGTCTTTGTTATTTTTCACTATTCATGATACTTAAATCAGCAGACATCTGAAATTTTTTTTTAATTTGCATTTTTAATTTTTTGCAATTTCTACATGGAAAGAACAAGATGACTCTGGATATCATCTCAGATTATACTCAGTGATGAAAAAATGTCTGTGGTGAAAAAAAAATTTTAGATAATAGCTAAAAAAAATCCAAGAAAAATTTTCAAGTTATAAAAAATTCATATTATTTCATTAAAATTATTATAAAATAAAAATTATAATAATAATAAATTTTTTTTTTTTTTTTAACAAAAAATAGAGTGATCATTCTGGGGGTGCTTGTTTTTCAGGAAAATTGTGGGTGTAATACAATTATTATTATATTATAATTTTATTTATAATAATTTTAACGAAATAATATGAATTTTTCATAACTTTAAAATTTTTTCCGGGATTCGTAATCTGGATGATACTCATTGTAATCAGGATTATACTAACTACTATCTGTAATTTTTTTCACTTAGTATAATCTGGGATGATATCCAGTGTCATCTTGTTCCTTCCGTGTAGATATGAAATTTTTTACTAAATTTTTTTAATAATAATTTATTTATTAAAAATTGACAGATGTCTGTTAATTTCACATTCCTTACTATTCACAAATTATATAAACTTTACAATCTAACATTGAACTTTAAAACTGAAGAAGCTCCACTTTACAAACATCATGATACGCGTTTCGTATCAACGCGTAGGGAAAACAGCTCTCCAGAAGATCCATGGTCAAAAAAGGTGATTCTTGAACAATTTCATTGAGCAGAAGATAAATAGATTCCCGGTTCTTGATGCTATCCTTATCATTTTCCTGCCCTAGTCTCAACAAACTGGACGAAGCAAGCGCCAAAAACTCTTTCATCCTGTCTTCGATGTCATTTTGTCCGCAAATAGTAAAAAGCGCCCCGAAGATATTGTTGATAGCAGTAGCGATGCAATGAACATTATTGGAATGTCCCTCTAGCGACGCGCGATAAAAAGAATTTTCATTGCGCGCCAACTTCGGAATGGAAACAGCAATAAAAACCATCAGAAGACAAACAATCAGATCTTCTTCCTCATCCGACACATTTGAGTTATCATTAGATTGACTTTTTAGAGCATTAATAAGCGCGGGGTCAACTTTGCATGTTAACCCAACAGCTGAAGTCATTTCGGAGACCAAATTCATCGGATCGTCCGAAGGCAAATGGTGCCGCAAATCCGCAATTGAACTCAGAAGAAACGGAATTTTCTCCTCTAGAACATCATTGAGCGCATCTTGCGCTAGCTGCCTGAAGCTGAGGATCACACCAATAATAGTAAACCTCTGCAAAACATTCTCTACACTTTGCAATCGTTTAAACTGGTCAATCATTATCTCCGGTTTATCAAAGTTAGTCCTCAAAGCTATCAAAACTTCTCTGTTATTGACCACCAGTTTCTTCAACTCCTGGACCTGACTAGAGATGTGCCACATCAGAGTTTCATTGAGCATTTTCATACCATAGGGACCAATAAGTTCCGCCAGAGCTCGAAGTTCGTTAATATCCGTAAACTCTTCAGCATTAAACGGAATCGCTCCTTCAGCCGACAAACTAACAAAAGCTCGTTGGTTCGCAGAGAAGCATATATTCCCACCACTGACTCTCCTTAGCAGCACGTCTGAATACCACTGGGTATACAAAGCAGCAATCGTCTTATCACCATGACTGTCAACAGGCTGGGTCTGCTGAAGCAGCGCGTTATTGAATATCCTAGTGATGTCTATATGAACGTAATTTTCAACAGACTGCAGCACATTCATATACGCTCTGATACTAACCACCAACTCAGACGGTTTTGCAATTTCACTGGACTCGGGATTGAACATCACCATTCCCACTAAAGCTCGCGAGAACCTTGCTTCAAGATGTTGGTTCAAATATTCTCGGGAAGCGAAGGTAATATTCCAGACGGTAATTGCAGGACAGTAATTTATCGCATGACAAAGTTCCGTTAAAGCCATATGTAACTTGTCCATAGTAGTAAGTTGCTCTCGTGTCCTTCTGTAGCTTTCTACTCCCGGTTTTTGTATTTCGCTGACGTTCTTCTTGTTTTTGTCCTTTTTTTTGCGGTTGAACGCCTGGGATATCAATTGCGCGCAATGTTTCGGCAAAAGTCGGTCGCTCATATTGCATTGCTCGTCGCAGATAGTCGTGATAATATTCTTGGCCTCCTTCGCCATTTCATTGAGAAACATGTCGACGATAGACCGGCTTCTGTCGTGAATGTGGTGCCTTTCTTCGGGGCAAAGCTGGTGAGTTGAAGTTTGGAAGTGGCTGCAAATCAGCGGATAGGCTATTATAAATCTATTTTGAGCCGGAAATTCAAGACACATGTGAAATTGCTCTTCAAAAACTTTGCTGTAAAAGCAATAAATCGACAAATCTGAAGTATCTACAAGCATTTCGTCCAGATAGTCGATCATTTTTGTGTGGAAGATTACCGTATCCATAAAACCGGCCAATTCGCGGTTATCCACAAGGCTCAAATTGCAATTACTCACAGACATGTAGGCTTGTAACCTAATCCAGTCGAGTCTCAGCCCACGGAAATCAAAGAGTTCGTTTTCTTCAACCTGTTTCACGGTAAGGCCGGCCATGCTGGAGCACAAATCACTGAGAATGACTCCTTCTTCTTCTGGAAGACCCGACAAATTCTGGATGATCTGGTGGAGGAATGGGGCGTCAAATCCTGACAAATACTGAACATAATACCTCTGAAGAACTTGGGAGTATTTTTTCACCAGAGCTCTTAGTTCTTCGCAGTGAAAAAGCAGCTCAGGAAGCTGCCGGTCCACCAAATCTTCGTTTCCTCGAGCCTTGCTTTTCCCCTGAGTCGGGGGATTTTCACCGTGTCTTATAATCCAGAGAACTTCGTCCCTAGCGTGAGACAGGCCCATGAATACTAGGAGTGCTTTTGGACCAAGAAGACCTGGCTGGTCGCTCATAATTAGTCCCAAGTCTTTCAAAGCAGCTCTGAGAAATTTTCGCTTTTCTCTGTGCCTATAAGCGGACTTTTGGACCGCCTGAGTGTAGCAATCTTTCACCTCAGAGATCCGTTTGCTGTAACCCTTGATGCTTTCAAAAAAAGACTGTATATACTGGTGGATATAAATAACTTCATCACGAAAGAGGGTTAATACCCAACCGGATTCCAGGGCACTGGTCCACAGTTTGTTCGACTGGTCTTGAGTTAAAACCGTATGACAGAGGGTAAATCCGAGGATTATCCATTTTTCTACTTTATCTATACTAAGAGTTTCGCAAGACATTGTTTCGGTAGAGGCGGCCTTTAATATTTTACCCGGACTACCAATTATGCTTAACTTTTGATCCGCTCGCCAATTATCCGCGGTCATGTTTCTGCTGGGATATATCGCCCAGAGCGAATTCAACGCGCCACGGAGTAAATTTAAGTGGGGAATAAATTCTTCGGAAAGTTTCTTTAGCGGAATGTCGTAGTCTACGATCATTTGTCCGAGTCTGGGGAATGTATTGTCGCTTTTCTTGTTAACCATCTCATAGGCGATGTTAAAAAGCCCCAATACTGCCTTGCGGTCTTCCCACTTTGAAAGTAGGATCATCAGAGTTATGTAGGTGGATATCAAGTCCAAGTACGCCTTGGTTAGGTCAAAGTTAAGGGTGATGTCTAGGAAAACTCCACAAGCGTCCATCGTGGTCAACAACTCGCAAACGTTATCTTTAAAGTCTAACAAGTCTACAATTGTGTAATAGTACAGTGACAACGATTTAACTATTTCATTACGCAAGTTTGTTACCGTCTGAAACCCCTTGGCGTCGACGTTCGGGAACTTCCTGATTATCAGCTTTATAGACGACTCCAGCGACTTGTCAGCCAATACTGTAGGCGGTTTTGACTTTGTGTCGCAGGCTTTTTTTATGTTGTACAACCGCGTCAGCATTCCTATGCCCCGGTCGTTCAGGATTATCAGCTTTTCGGCTAATTTTTGTTGGCTGGGCAGCACTGAGCGGGACATTTTTTTTATTAATTTTTTATGACTACTTTTAACTCTGTGATATTATATTTAGATTTTTTTTTATAAAAATAAATCTGTTATTTCAGGCACTGGTTTTTAACTGAAAAAAAAATTTATAAATAAATAAATAAAATGTTTATTAAAATTAATGTTAATAGTTGTATTAAATATATTTACACACTATTACTGATGAGTGATGAATGATGAATGGGGCGGTTACCAGATATGCGTAAAACGTATTTATGGATATATTTTAGTAGTATAAAAAGTATAATGCACTTTATATAAAATTTGGGGTAATATATACTATATATAATATAAAAAAAATATTTTAGTAACTGAATTTAATGACAATTTCATTTTACACTACACTTTTGTGACAGCACTCCAACATTGCGGGGATTATAAACAAATATGTGTGTGTTTATTCGTGGAAGGTTAAGGCTTGAGCTGACGGTTGAGTATCGATTGGAACTCTATCTAACGGCGGAGAAAAAAGTTTATATTACTCATTTAATGTCCGGTCGATAAGGCCCGGTTCTAACTACCGATTGCTACGGACCCATTTATTATATAAATAATACTAAAGTTAGCCGACGTTTTTAATTTTTTTTTAATAATTAAATTCGAACAAAAAAATATTTTTAAAAATTAGCACTTACAGTTTTTAAAGTTTTTTACTAAATGAAAAATTTTTTTAATTTTTTTGTTAATAATTTATGTTGTACAACCGCGTCAGCATTCCTATGCCCCGGTCGTTCAGGATTATCAGCTTTTCGGCTAATTTTTGTTGGCTGGGCAGCACTGAGCGGGACATTTTTTTTATTAATTTTTTATGACTACTTTTAACTCTGTGATATTATATTTAGATTTTTTTTTATAAAAATAAATCTGTTATTTCAGGCACTGGTTTTTAACTGAAAAAAAAATTTATAAATAAATAAATAAAATGTTTATTAAAATTAATGTTAATAGTTGTATTAAATATATTTACACACTATTACTGATGAGTGATGAATGATGAATGGGGCGGTTACCAGATATGCGTAAAACGTATTTATGGATATATTTTAGTAGTATAAAAAGTATAATGCACTTTATATAAAATTTGGGGTAATATATACTATATATAATATAAAAAAAATATTTTAGTAACTGAATTTAATGACAATTTCATTTTACACTACACTTTTGTGACAGCACTCCAACATTGCGGGGATTATAAACAAATATGTGTGTGTTTATTCGTGGAAGGTTAAGGCTTGAGCTGACGGTTGAGTATCGATTGGAACTCTATCTAACGGCGGAGAAAAAAGTTTATATTACTCATTTAATGTCCGGTCGATAAGGCCCGGTTCTAACTACCGATTGCTACGGACCCATTTATTATATAAATAATACTAAAGTTAGCCGACGTTTTTAATTTTTTTTTAATAATTAAATTCGAACAAAAAAATATTTTTTAAAAATTGCACTTACAGTTTTTAAAGTTTTTTACAAATGAAAAATTTTTTTTATTTTTTTGTAATAATTTTTTCAATAAAAAAAAAATTAAAAATTTTTAGATGTCGGCTAACTTAATTTTCATTTATTATGAAAATTAATAATACCAAAGTTAGCCGACATTGTTAATTTTTTTAATAATTAGAACAAAAAAATATTTTTTTTTTTAAATTGCACTTAAAGTTTTTTACAAATGAAATTGTTTTTTTATTTTTTTGTAATAATTTTTTCAATAAAAAAAATCCTAAAAATTTTCATCATTTGTGAAAAAATTGAAAAACTACAAATGCAATTTTTTAAAAATATTTTTTAGTTCTTATTTAATAAAAGAAAAAAAAATTAAAAATGTCGGCTCACTTTATTAATATTTAATTTGTTTAATTATTTTTTATTTTTTATAAAACTGACCATTTTTTATATTATATTTTGAAAGTTAATTAATAATGATAATTAATTTAAGAATTTTAGAATTAAAAAAATTTTTTTTATCAAATGAAAGATAAGAAAAAAATTTTTCGAAGAAAAATTACATATTTAGATATTTAAAAAAATTATTAAAGTAGTTTTTAAAAAATAATTTTCTAAAACTAATTTATTTGTTAAGCAAAATTAAAAAATGCTCAAGTGTCTGATAATTTTAGTATAATAATTAATACTAAGTAACTAGATTTAGAAAATTGTATTTATACTTTATTTTTAATCTCTAAAAGTAGAATTTTTATTTTTTATTAAAATTTTACCTATTGAAAAGAATGTCACGTTTCTGCTGATTCTAGTTTAATGATTTTCCATTATAAAATTAAATATAAAAAGGTGATTTTTTATGATGAAGATGATGTAGAAATTAAGTTAGAGTTTTTTCTTCCATTGAATATTCATAAAGTTTTAATATAATAAATTTTTTTGACTAAAAATAAATTTATGTAATATATTAATATTAAATAAAATTAATAAAAATTTCTAATAAACTGATAAATTTCAGATTCGATCGACTCGCTGCGGAGCATTATTGTCTGAGAATTAAACTCCTCGGGGATTGTTATTACTGCGTATCTGGATTACCCGAGCCAAGACCAGATCATGCTCACTGTTGTGTGGAAATGGGATTGGATATGATCGACGCTATTGCGTAAATATCACAAATATTTATTGAATAAACACTAAAACCAGACTACAGTCATTTATAATTTTTACCCCAACAATCAATAAAATTTTTATTAATTTTAAAACTTACTTAGATCAAAAAATAATCTCCAAAAAATAAATTACCCACCCCAGTGCGAATGAATAATTATAAACAAAAGTTCCATAACTTTTACGGGAAAGTTTAATAATTTTTTGATAAAAAAAATAATTATATCTCACTGGTTAATAAATAATTAATAAAAAGTCACTTTACTGTACTTTCTTCCTCAACTCATTATTTTTTCCTTCATTTCGAATTATCCTTACAATTTTTAACCAAGAGGAGGTCTGCATGAATCCATTGTTGTTTAATTTTAAAGATCTCCATTAACAAATTTAAAATGTACATCATAAGCAGCCTCGATTACTTATTTAAAACAGTATTTTGCGTCTCTGATAATAATATTACAATGTTCGAGAGTGAACGCAAACGCGCGTCCTCTTTAATCTCCCATTTCCACTGCTCTAATTACAATCCTGAAAAATAGGAAACGAGAATAGAAGAAAGTACTTTAAATTTAAAAATAAAATCCAAAAAATCAACCGCTGACTTAAAACAATATTTCCAAGTCAAGTATGGAAAAAAATTCACCGAGTAATTTTCAATTGAATTAACGATGCTTATCATTAAAAATCTCATCTAATATTTTCATTATTCTTTATCATTTTTCATTTTATATAATAGCCGGTAGCTTCTTTTGTGCATCATGTAATATTATAATACACCGGATTACGATCCTATCTCTCATATAATAACTGTAATAAAGAAAAAAATGTGATCATCTAGGTACTCAAAGCATTAATTTTAAACATCTGAATTTAATTATTAAGAAGAGACCTTTAAAAAATAATTTCTATACTGAGAGAAAAAATTTATTTAAAAAAAAATGGAAATTGTTAAGTCAAGAAATTTTTAGATAAACAACCTGCAAATTTTTATCCAAAATTTTATTTTCTCAAATTTAAAATACTTTTTTAACAATAAAATTACTGAGAAAAATTTTAATTTTTTAAATTAAGAAATAAAATTTTCAACAAATTAATTTCTTGTTATAACAATATTCATTTTTTCAGAAAGAATTTTTTTCTCTCAGAGTACATAAAATTACATCTATATTAAAAGATCTCATATCATTTTCACCGATAATCAATTTATTATGATAAGTATTTAAGCTGCATTTGAAAATGCTCTATATCTAGATACAAAATTAAGAAATGACCCTGTATCTCGTGAACTATTGACATTTTTAAAGATATAAGCTCATCCCGATGTTACACTCACCAAGACCTTTCATTTGAGTACCCACATCAATTTTTCATATATTTATATATATTATATATATTTATATATGAAAAATATATCAAAAATGCATGTGGGTACTCAAATGAAAGCTCTTGATGAGTGTAACATCAGGATGAACTGATATCTTTAAAAATATCAATAATGAAGAAATGACCTTGTATCTTGTGAACTATTGACATTTTTGATATATATATATATATATTATATATATGTATATATATGAAAAATATATCAAAATGCATGTGGGTACTCAAATGAAAGCTTTTAATGAGTATAACCTCGGGATGAGCTTATACCTTTAAAAACATCAATAGTTAAGAAGGTACAGGACATTTTAACAAATATCTTGCGAACTATTGACATTTTTAAAGATATAAGTTTACCCTGACATTACACTCATCGAAATCTTTCATTTGAGTACCCACATCAATTTTTCATATATTTATATATATGTATATATATGAAAAATATATCAAAATGCATGTGGGTACTCAAATGAAAGCTCTTGATGAGTGTAACATCGGGATGAGCTTATATCTTCAAAAACGTCAATATTTAAGAAAGTACAGTGCAATTTAACAAAAGTCATTATTTAATAAAGCAAAATTTTATTTATTTATAGTTCACAAGTCACATAGTGACTGCAAGATTGCTAGTAATTATTGTTTGAATAATTTATTTACCCCCATAAAATTTTCTATAAATTATAATTTTTGAAAAGTAATTTATGTTTATTGACAGAAAATGAAATCGATTGTTCCCCTGTTGATTGTATTAGCCGCTTCTTTGTTATAATTCAGCGGGTCAATATAAAAGCACTCGATATGAGCCAAATATAGTTAGTTTGCACAGAAGTTAATTAACTTGGTGACGTTAATTTAACAGGCTCGTGAGAGAGGTCATGGCGGTGAATGTTAACATGAGGGTTGGAATTCATACGGGGAGAGTCCACTGTGGCGTACTGGGGCTCAGAAAGTGGCAATTTGACGTCTGGAGCAATGATGTAACTCTTGCTAATTACATGGAGAGTGGCGGAATTCCTGGGTAATTTTTTCATTCATTATACTTATCATTATCACTGTGTCTTATCAATTACTGATTTCTTCCTCAACATTGCAAAAAAAAATTTACTTCAAATTTTTTTTTCTTCTTTTTACAATCTAAAAAAAAGCAATTTAAACAAATTATTCAAAGAATAAAATAATGCAATACCTGCCCAGGGTTGGAGTAATCCCTCAAGTCGATTAATTGTTCGGCAAACAATTTATTTTAGACGAGTTCACATTACCAAAGAAACCCTAGACTGTCTGGGCGACGATTACGAAGTAGAAGAGGGCAACGGCGGAGAACGAAATTCTTATTTGAAGGAACACAATCTCAAGACGTATTTAATTGTACCTGGGGACACATTCAAAGACAATTTGACGAGCCCGAGTTTGAGAAAGGGCTACTCTGTCAACGGCAATGTGTCCAAAGAAATGCGAATGATGGGCCACGGATCACAGCACGGAAAGCATTCCAAGTATATTTATTGTTTGTTATTTAGAATTTATTATTAATTATTGCCGAGGAGAATTAAAAGGTATTGTGAAAAATTAATGTAGGCTGGGGTTCGGCTGTGAGACAATTGAGACGGAGAAGGACCCCGAGGATGAGGTGAACGAGTATCTCATGAGGGCTATTGATGCTAGAAGCATCGACAGACTTAGATCCGAACACTGTACACCTTTTATCCTGACCTTTCGGAGGCCGGATATAGAAGAAAAGGTAGACCCTATTATTATTATTAATTTTTTTTTTATAAAAATCAACAGAGATGCAGATGAAATTTTTTTTTTCATTGATTTTTAATACAAATTTATTTCAGTACTCGAGAGAACGAGATCGAATGCTGTCGGCGTATTTCGTTTGCTCGGGATTCGTTTACGTAATTGTTGTGGTTGCAATCGCCATCAGTTTGTCTGGGTATGTTAATTTTTTATTTGTGGTATTGATATTGTTGATATATCACAGACGTAAATTAAGCCACATTTTTTATTTTCAATATTTTTTTTTTTTTTAATTAAAATCTCTTGTTTAAATTAAAATATCGAATGCAATTGTTAATAATTTTATGATTTTTCAGGAGTATATATTTCTACGTGTGTACTGGAGTGAGTTTATTAATTATTGTTTTGATAAACAGTATTCTTCTGGCTGAGAAAAATGAGGTACAGTTTAATTAAATATTAAAAGGCTAAATTTTGTTGCAAAAGAATATCGAGAGATTGAATATTGACTTATTCTCTTTGTTTTTAACTTATCATCTCTCGATTCTCTGTTCTATTTGTATTCAGATTCTGAACTTTCAAATATACATCACAGTCATGAAACTTTAATATTTACATATATCAGTTGGATATTAAAATTTATTTTATATTCTTTGGTGAAGTAGAATATAATATTTATATACATTTTTTTTTTATTTTTACAGAAAATACCTGAGTGGATCAGAAATGTATCGATAGCTATTTTTGAAAACCGTATGATCGCTCAAAGTATTGCGACAATCGTAGTCTTCCTTACATTTTTAACTATTTTGTCACCATTAGTAAGTTTTTTTATTGTATTAAATTATTACTCGTCTTAAAAAAAATTATTTTTCTTTTTAAATGCATGAAATCAACAAATTAATCTAATTTTTTAATAAATAAATTTTTAAAAATTATTTAAATTTTTTTACTAATATAAATCTTAAAAATTATCAAAATCTCTTAATTTCAATTTTTTAATTTTTTATCAATCAATTTTTGGACAATTTATACTTCTATTAATTATTTAAAAAATTTTTAAGACGAGTTTTGTTAAATTTAAAATTTTTTCCATCAAAAAAATGTAAAATCTAATATCCATAAATTTAAAAAAATAAATAGGTCACACTAGACAACAGTACAGTGTGTAGTAATAACACTTGGACAAGAAAATCTCATGACAATTCAACAGTAATGGTTCAAATTCCTGGAGCAACAGGACCATGTTATTACACCCTATTCGCTGACGTAAGGAAAAAAATACTTGAAGCTACCTATAGAATAACGTCACTGCTAGTTTAATCTAAAGACAGTGTAGAATAAAAAGTATACTGATAAAAAAATTATCTTGACTCAAGAGCCAAAATCTTGAACCAAGAATACCATTTTTGCTACTACGACCTATGAGCATCATTTGTAGTATCGGTTATCCGATATGATTTCTTGAGTCAAAAAATCATTCTTGATTTAAGTAAATTTTTCTTGTCTCAAGAATTAATTCTTGAGACTCAACAAAATTATTTTCTTCAAAATGGTATTTTTGAATCAAGATTTTAGATTTAGATTTAGATTACTTTATTCATGCCAAAGCCTATCGGCCAGATGGCAATATTTAAGATACAAATAAAATGACATGTTAATAAATTACATAATTGATGATATTACAAAATTGATATTTCAAGCACTGTAATAATAAAGTTACAATTCATTTGATAATGGGTTACTAAAAACTATTTTTATATTTTTAAATTTGGTACCATTAATTAGAATTTAAACAACAACTTATAAACGAAGTATAATTTAACATTTTGTTATAATAACTAATATCACAGAATTTATAATTATAATTGATATTTAATAAAATTAGCTAAAGATGACTAAATATAAATAGATAAAATTGTAGATTTACAACAAGATTTATTAATTAGATTTTAGATTTATCTGATAAGTTAAATATCTGGTAAATCAAGCCATAGCAATTTAAATCTTAATAACAATTTAATTACAGTTATTCCCGGTGCTGGTGATGCTGGTGATGGTCACCTGTGCAGTCTACCAGATCTTGACGTCAGTTTTCAAAGTAGCGGTGCTGAGTATAATCGTGGCCTGCTACTTGGCAGTGAGCATATATCAGTCCTCGAAAGAGGAGGACATTGATCAATCAGGGAGATGGCTGGCCGGAGTGCTGGTGATATTCTTCATGGCCTTCCTGGTGGCTCACTCCCAACATACAGAGGCGACTTACCGCCTTGACTTCCTGTGGAAGCTCCAGGCGACCGAGGAGAAGGAGGAAATGGAACATTTGAAGGCTTACAACCAAAAGCTTCTTGCAAACATCCTGCCGGAGCATGTCGCCGCGCACTTCCTCAGAACTGTAAACTCTGATGTACGTAATTAGACTTTCATCGTTCCCCGTGTACTGTTACCTTATATACGATATTGTTATACGTTGTTATATTATACTCTGCCTGATGTATTATGTATTATGTATAATATATGATGTATAATGTCTCGTTCGGCTCTAGGTTGCTCTTTCTCTCTCTCTCTTATTGTACTTGTGTTATGTTTCAGGAACTCTATCACGAGCAATGCGACTTTGTGTGCATTATGTTTGCGTCAATTCCAAACTTCTCAGAGTTCTACGTCGAGCTGGAGGCTAATAATGAGGGTGTTGAATGTCTAAGACTTTTGAACGAAATAATTGCCGATTTTGATGAAATTCTTGCGGAGGATAAGTTTAAGTATATTGAAAAAATTAAAAGCACGGGAGCTACTTATATGGCAGCTTCAGGTTTGTTGTAATTTTTTTTTTTTTTTTCACTAATATACTGTGAAATATTGTTTATTCAAGTGTAATTTGGATAAATGCTTGAAAATTTATTAGTAAAATTACAGATAAAATTTTTTAATAATTATTATCGGAAAACTAAAGGGAAATTTTATTAAAAATTTTTATTTTCTTTGTCTAAATATCTTTTTTTTTTTTTACTACTAAGTAAACGAATTATTTTCATTGAATTTTTTTTTAATTATTCATTTTATATCATTGTATTTGTTAACAAAATAAATTAGATAAAAAAACCAAAACTAAAAATATTTTTATAAATTAATTTTTTCTACTTATTTGTTTAAAATTAAATTTTTACGCACTTTAATTAATTTATTGTTAAAAAATTTTTGTTTAATTCTTTATAAAAATTTGCATTATTTTATTTTAATTAAAAAAAAAAAATCGAAAATATTTAATTAAAAATTAAAAAAAATGACTTGAAATTAAGAATACACTAATAAAATTATTTCACAGTATGTAGTTAATAAAAAATATTAATTAAAATAAAATAAAAAAATGATGACAGGTCTAACAAAAAGTACCTGTGATATGAAAGACTACAAACACATAACAGCGATGGCAGATTACGCGTTGCGAATACGTGATCAGCTGGCCTACGTTAATGAACACAGCTTCAATAACTTCAAGATGAGGGTCGGGATCAACATTGGACCAGTTGTGGCGGGAGTGATAGGCGCACGTAAACCACAGTACGATATCTGGGGAAATGCCGTTAATGTTGCCTCGAGAATGGACTCGACAGGCGTGTTGGATAGCATTCAAGTGACACAGGAAGTACGCGATATTCTCAGTGCCAAAGGCTATCCACTTACTTGTCGTGGCCCCATTCAGGTCAAGGGTAAAGGAAATATGATAACTTACTTTTTGGACGGGCCTAACGATCCTAACAAACTAATGGCTACTATACCTGAAAACGATTCACACTTTAATTACAACAATCTCGATATCAGTAGCCTCTCTGTTGACAAAAAAGCCTCACTTGTTATCACTAGCTAGGCACTTTCTGATAAATTTATTCATTTTTTACTCTTATCTCTTTAGCACGCAATCAACCTATTTTTTATTTTTATTTTATTCTTTTTACTAAAATGAAAATTTTATTCGTTCGTTTACGCGTTCGATGCATGAACGATGTTCGATATAGCGACTCTTATATTTTATTAGCTGCTATTATATAAATATATTTATAATATATAATGTGTGTGTTGAATTTTAAATAGATAAAATAATAATTGAAAAGACATGAAGTGGATATAAATATTTTTAATATACGATAACAAGAATCTCTTTAAAATAATTATTAAATTATTGATCTTTTGGTACAAACGAGATTTTTATTACTATTATTAAACTAATTTATTATTATTATGTACTCGTTATGAATTATTTATTAGTGTATCATAAATAATTCAATTTTTGATTTATTACGCACATCATATTGTATTCAATATTTATTATTTAAAATTAGCGATAAGTATTAATTAATTTTTTTAATTAAAATTTCATTTCTTACAACAATTGGTTAGACTAAAAAAATTTTTAAAGTTTAAAATATTTTAAATTCATTAATTTCAATGAAATAAAATTTAAAAGTATCAAAAATAAATTTTTGAATTTTACTGAGTTGAACACAAAAAATTTTAAACTTAAATTATTTATTGAACTTTGTACTAATTTAATAATTTTATTTTTAGTTTTGTAAACTTTAAAGTTACAATTTTATTAATTAAAATTAAAAATAATTAAAAAAATTTTTTAGAATCTTATTCGTCTGACCAATTGACGGTATGTCGCTCCGACTGTCGGTAGAATGATTTTGCGCTGATAATAACTGTTAAATGTACATACTTCACTGGCGGGATAATTGAATCCCATGTAAATTATTTAATACCAAACTAATGTATTTATTATTATTTAAGTAAATAATAATTAGTAATTAGCAGATTTAAAAAAACTCTCCTCTAAACGACTAAAGATTGTAATGTACTTAATTTATATTTATAATTATTTACATTCCTTCTTATTCTCATATTTTTTCAGCAATACAATTTTATAGATGAAATAAATTGGAAGTTTTTAATTTAAAAAATTAAATTAAAAATGAGTGTTTAATCAACGACACTGTACAGATAACAACGAAGAAATTGAATGCTTTAAATCGTTGTAGGTAAAATATCCGATGGCTAGCCTTCTTAAAAAAATTAAATAAACTTTCAATAAATAAATTAATTTCACATATTTAAAGTCAATAGAATTATAAGAAATAATTATTTTTCTTTGTGTTAAATTTTGAAGGCTAAGAAGATAATTTACCTGGTCTGTAATTATAAAAAAAAAAATCAAACAAACTATTTACAATTACAATTAAAAATGTATAAATTTCCTTTGTGATTAAATAAAAAATGTTTTAATACGATAAACAAAGCTAATGTGTGGTTAAGGGATAATAGGCTTAACATTACCAGAGATAAAAATCTAATTACGGACGATTGCGGCAATGAAAATGACTGCTTTGCGAATTAGTGAGAGTTTAATGAATGAGTTATCTGTTAACAGGAATAAAATTGCGTAATTATAATAATTATGTTTCAATTTTTATTGACTGGCAGGTCCAGAAATACAGAAGTCAAGTATATTGTGTATTTATTATTTTTCCGTTATTATTTAACTAGTAAAACGCAAAAATAGTAACCGAGTACTAAAATATGTGATAACTGATAACTGATATGATAAATTAAAAATTAATAATGATAATAATTTTATTATTAAAAGTACATACAAGTATCTGAAGATTGAATTGAGTAAATGTCAATAATTAGTTAAAAAGTAGAGGGTATATTTATTGTTGTGATTTAAATGTGCAGAAAATGTAAATGTTAAATGTAACGCGTGATTAATTATGCAATATGTTTATGTTTATTTATTTTAAATAATTGCTGATGTTTTGAAATATGTAATGTTATATAATACAAAGAATTTTAAAAATGCAACAAATATAATTATAAATATAATTGTGGTTTAAAGGAACCTAAATGTACCAAAGATTTATCTGAAATAAGTAACGTAGTTGAGAAAAAATCTAACGAGCCAATAAAGTTATCTGGATAAAAATAGTCAATATAATTTGTCTCAGAGATAATTATTAATTATTAATTATAAATTATATGAATATAAATTTTATCTATGTATATGTATAGAATTTAATAACTGTTTAAAGTCTACTACAAACTTGACTATGACGTATCTTTGAAGGCCTAAGAAAATATTTTATCTTAATTGACTTAAAATTTGCTTTATGTGCAATATTTAATTCTGATAAAAAAAAATATGATCGTAATTAATGATAAATAAATTTTTGATTAAAAAAAAACTTTTTCTGTATTTATTTTATCCTATTTTTATTTGTTGTTCGAATAATGCTTAATTTTTTTAATTAGTAAATAATTGATACTAAAATAATTAATTAATACTAAAATTTTAAGTTTTATTAAACTTTAAATAAATTTCTATTTTATAATTTTTATTCACAAAATGTAATTAAAAATTATTTTTTACTACTTGCATGTAATTAAAAAATTTTCAAAGTTTCTTCTTATGATACTAAAATTTTTTTTTTTCTAGAAAATTTACAATTAAATTATAAGTCTCTATCATAATTTTTAAAATTGTTAAAATATATTATAAAAATTAACTAAGAAAAATTGCATTAGCAATTATTTGAAACAGGTCTAACAAGTTTGTAAAAAAAAACTGGACCTGTACTCACACAAGTACACCACAAGAGTGTAATTTAAATCGATAAACACGGAAACACATGGTCTGGGGTTCTTGCGCAGTACCGAGTTGTTATTATTATATAAATATCTCTACGAAAGTCTAGTCAGTAAACGCATGTGCTGTCGGCTAAAATCCACCTATAAACACGTGCTCAATGGATTTTTTTATAATTGCTCCGAAATGAAAGGTTACATTAACAATTTTTTAATAATTCAAATTTTTTAATTTCCAATTTTCACAAAAAAAAATAAATTTAAAACAATTTTACTCTAATTTAAAATTACACGTTGAAATTTTATGTTTAAACTATTGTGCAATAATTTATAAATAAATTTTCTAGTTATGAAAAATTGGGAAAAAAATTTTTTTTTGGATTTTTAAAAATAAAAAAAATTCTAACAAAAATTTTCAATGAATCTATTTAAGAATAGTGATTTAAATATTTATCATCTTTTTAATTATTATAAAATGTAGTTATTTAGTAACACGTTCTTGTTTGCGTCAGTGATAAGTATTAAATGTTATCATAAATGAAACTCAAGCAAAAAAGATTATTTTTCTTTAATACACGATCGCGTTATTTAATCTTTATTATTATTTGGTCTTATAGAATTAACGCTGACATCTAACCACTATTGTGATACATTAGATAGAGGGGATATTAAAGCTGTGATGGATAATTTAGTTACTTAGTATCATAAAAAATATATTTTAATAGGATATACTAGTTTCTATCAAGACAATATAATATAAGTGAAAAAAATTCCAAAATGAACGAGGATTTATCTGAGGTATTTATCAAATTAAAATAGTTAATTAAAAAATATACCGCATTAATTTTTTAAGTTAAAATTATTTTATAAATTTACCTAATAGATTTTAAAATTATGAATTTTTTTTTTTTTGATAAAAAAAATAACTAAATTTCAGATAATAATTGTCCAAAACAGACGATCCCAAGTAATAAAAAAATTCTTCGGATGGATACGATACATATCTGTGGAGCCGACAATGTGGCTTTACATAATGGCATACATGATGACATCAGTTGTCGAGCAAGCTCTTTTTGTTGACAAGTCCTGCAGAGTTAATCACGGATTTTCTGAAGAAGTTTGCAGAGATATCAAGAATAATGACACTATTAATAAAATTGTTCAGGTAAAACAGACTTTAAGATCTTCAGGGTAAATAAAAATGAAAATTGAACCACGGACTGACAAAAAATTATGGAAATTAATAAATAAATTTCAATATCAATCAATTATTTTACAAAGGCATATTATGTCACTGAAATTAACAGACGTCTAAAAATTTTTGATTTTTTTAATTAAATTACAACTAAAAAGATATTTCTAAAAAATTGCACTTGTAGTTTTTCGAGTTTTTTACATATCAAAATTTTTTTTTAATTGTTTAATTGAAATTTTTTCAATAAAAAATTTCTCAAAATTTTGAAATGTTTGCTAACTTTATTTTCATAGGCATGTTTGAAGAAAAAAATAAAATTTTGTCATTTAAAATGACACTCTATGCCAATCTATATTTTTATTTTAAAACTAAGCTATAATTACACTGATTGCAAATAATTATTGCAAGTACTTTATTTTGTAAAGAAAACTAAACCAATAACTGTAATTTACAGGTAACAGTATCAGATTTCCACCAATGGAACAACATCGCTGGTCATGTAGTTCCAATAATTTTATCTCTGTTCTATGGAAACTGGAGTGATCGACGCGGTAGAAAGCTTCCTCTGATAATAGGTCTTCTGGGGAAAATTATTTACTCCGGAATGATTGTTGTAAATACTCTGAAACCAAACTGGGACTTGTTTATGATAATTTACACAGCAAGCATACCCATGGGGATGCTCGGTGGAGATCTTGCTATTTTTGGGAGCTGTTTCGCTTACATATCCGATGTTTCTTCCGCAAAACAACGCACACTGAGGGTTACTATTCTGGAAATCGCTTATCTCAGTACTATGCCAACAGGTGACAATTAAATCCAAATTATAAAAAATTATATCGACGTTCTAATTAGCAAATTCTCTAACTCCATTTTAGAGAATCTTTCATTTGTACGAAAAAACAATTTAATATCACTTTAAAAAAACATTTAATACCATTAATATCTAATAAAGGTATAATATTTTGGTTTGGATCATTTAAATAATTTATAATTGGACTATTGCTGTATCAAAATGTTAAAAAATCACTTTCTAAAAAATAAGGAGTTAAACCAATTGCTAATTAGACCGTCGATATGATACTAAAATCAGCAGACGTTTAAAAATTTTTGTTATTGATTAAAAAAATATTTTTAAAAAATTGCACTCATAATTTTTCATATCTTCTACATGTAGAATTTTTTCTAAATAATTTTTTCAATGAAATAGTCTGCTAATTTAATTTTCATAAAATTGCAATCAATATTTTTTAATCATAAATCATAATTGTTGATTTTCAGGTATCGCGCTTGGATCATATTTGTTCACCGAGGTGTTTAACCGGTCATACACAATAATGTTTGCAATAAACACAACGCTGCTCATAATATCAGTAATTTATTCGCTGATTGTATTAAAATGGCAAACAAACCCGCGACAAACGCCTTTGCTCGGTGTCAATGTCTTGAAGGACTTCTTTGACAAAGAGCATGTAATTTCGACGGTTAAAACTCTGACAAAGCCGCGCTCCAAGAACAGGAGGCTTCATTTGTGGATGCTCTTTATTGCAATGACCTTTTACACCTTTCAAAGGGACGAAAAACCCATGAGCTACTTGTACACCCAGAGGATTTTCCAGTGGGACGTGTCGACTTTCAGCAAATTTAGGACTTTCCAATCATCGTTTTTTGTTGCTGGTAAATATGGTCATTTATTATGACACTGAAGTTAACAGACGTCCAAAAATTTTTGATTTTTTTTTTTAAATTAAATTACAACTGAAAAGATATTTTTAAAAAATTGCACTTATAGTTTTTCAAGTTTTTAACATGTGATATTTTTTTTTAATTGTTTAATTGAAATTTTTATTAATTTTAAATGTTAATTTAATTAACATTTAATTTTTTATTTATCAAATAAATCATAGCAATGCTAATCGGCGGACCAATATTGAGCAAATTATTGGGATTAAGAGACACCATCATTGTCATGATCGGAGCACTATCTCATGCTGCTGGTAGAGTGTTTTTCGCTTCCGCTACTACGCCAGAAATATTTTACGCTGGTATGTTTAAATTATAGCTGTAAATCTTAGCGTTGTATATAAATTACTAAATTTATTGTCTTAATGAAAAATAATTGCTACAGGAGCCGCGGTTGCTGCTATTGGGCCGGTAGTTGCACCGGTTTTAAGATCAATGACTTCCAAGGTTGTACCAATTAATGAACGAGGTATTATATTTTTTTAATTAAGTTATTTAGAAAATAATAATTATTGTTGATATGATAGATGATTATCTTTGTATGATACTCATTCATTTGATAATTGATAATTGCAGGAAAGGTTTTCGCCATGTTATCGGTCTGTGATAATGCAGTGCCTTTCTTTAGCGGAGTCTTGTACTCCCAACTTTACAATGAGACCTATAATACTGTACCCAGTGCAATTTACTGGCTGACTTTTGCGACACAAATTGCAGTACTGCTTCTTATTCTGTAAGTCATTGTCACTGTCACTATAATTTTTATGTAAATGATTTAATTACTGACTAGTCATGATAAATTACAATGCAATTTACTTTTTTAGTGTCATACATTTATCGTCAGGGTCTAATCAAAGAGAAAAGAAGGAAGAAGCAGAAGAAGAAGAAGAAGAAGAAACTAATGTAAGCGAGGCTTCGACTTGAGAAGCAAATACTTCTAATATTCAAGAACGCATAATTTCATGAAGTATTGTAATAGAAATCATTTTTTTTTTTTTAATGTTAATACACGGTGGTTAATCTCTAGGAGTTTTTTTGTACAAAAATTGTAATAAGAAAAAATTATAATAATTTATAATAAATTTTTTTTTTTAGGATATTACTTTATAGTCTTCCGGAAGAAATTAGCAATGAATTGGTAACGTAAAAAAATTTTTGTAAATATTAATAATTGTAAATAAAATTATCATGTTTAGAAAAAAAAATCAGCTGTGATTGCACGTGTAATAATATTAATTTTTAATAAATAATAATTGTACTTTATACTTATACTCAACTGTTACATCAACAAGACTATTTTTGTAAAATATGATAATCACTAATCACTAATAAAAAAGAACATTTTTAAAAATAAACTGATTTTTTTATTAATTTTAATGATTATTAAAAAAATGTAAAAAAAAATATAATTGACTCAGAATCTGATGTAAATGATCTTAACCTTGATTTTTAAGTACGTGTAAAATTAACTATTCTCATCATGTTATTTCTATAAAAATCATTATGCGTTGTACATTCGTACATAATTTTTGATAATATATTTTTAATTATTTCCTTTATCAAAAGTCACAATATGATTAAAATTAATATAATTGGATCTACGTGAATAGATAATAACTGAACTATAAATTTAAATCGTTTATGAGATGCCGTAAGTAATATAAAGATTTTCTTGCTCGAATCTCAAGATGCTTCGATCCGTAATAATATTCCGGGAATGCATCCAAGCGTGATGTATAGAGTATATAATGTCTTATCTATAACTGACGAAATTAATTAGACAAAATAGTACTCGTTTAATTGGTAATTAATGATTACTCTGCAAATATATTTTGATATTGTTATTATTATAATTATTACAATAATAATAATTATTTTTTAGTATTTACTTCTAAAGACTGGTTTTTTTTAATAATTTTTCAATTTTTAAGTTAATTGGCTATCCAATCTAATACAACAATTTGTATTTATTCGTAATATTTTTTAGCCTATATTTCCCTCCAGGCATGTACAATTTAGCCACATTTCATATCAAAATTTGTCATTAGCGATAGATTTTGTCTGAAAAAATAATAATAGTTACGGGCAGTATCTCGGATAGCTTAACAGGTAGAGCCTTCGGGGCGTAACCAAAAGATCCAGGTTCGAGTTCTGGTCTGGGCCGTCCGAATTATTTTTTCAGTCAAAATCTATCTTTAATGACAAATTTAAGTATATGAAATGTGGCTAAATTGTGTATGCCTGGAGGGAAATACAAGCAAAAAAATATTACGAATAAATACAAATTGTTGTATTAGATTGGATAGCCAATTAACTTAAAAATTGGAAAATTAATTATTATTATTACATTGAAATTAAAAAAAAAAATAAAAAACAAAGACAGAATTTAAATCATTTATTGAGCTTTGCAATTATTTATTTTTATTCACAAATCCTTTTTAAAATAGTAAGTTCATAATGAATTCGATAATGAACGTTGAGCTTATAAGACGATTATAAACTTTGATAAGTTTATTGAATTTAATACATCTCTAATGAGATGGTACTTTACAAAGGAATTAGAGATCAATTTACAGGAATTTTTTATGTTAATAATATGTGAAATTATGGAATCAATATCTCAAATATATAGCAAAATCCCTAATTTGTAAATATATTTTCTCTTTGAGAGAACAATCACCTTTGAATGTAGGCATTACATATGTTGAATGTGGAGATCAAAGGATAATGACCTTTCACATGGAAAATAAAGTGGAAATTTCATTGCAATAAAAATAAAATTTGGATTGAGTAAAGTAATTGTTCAAACAAAGAAATTATTAAAACTCTTTATAGTATTTACGGATTAAAATAAATATGCAAAGAGATTATTTCATAAAAGAAAAAATTAAAAATCAACAGATTTTTGTGTCTTTTTAATTAAACCATATCTTAAATTAATCTTATGCAAATTTTTATTAAAAATTTATCTCAATGCACATCTTTGAAATAAATTACACGTGACATTGGAAAAAAAATTTCGAAAAAAAAATCATAACAATAGCTATTCTCATTGTACTTAATATTTTTGACCAGTGAAAGCGTTTCACCCATTGAGATACACCGTAATCACATATCGTGATATTGATATTCACAGTGCATTGTATTATCACAAGCGTGTCAAGGCTTATTGGCTAATTATTGTTTACGAATTTGTAATAATAATATTATCATCCTTCATAATATTTTATATTCTCAATAGACACTAAATTTTTTATTTTTCTTCTATTTATTGATAAACATACATGTATATAGAGTTTTCTTCTCTGAAGATATCTTAATTTAATTCAGTATATAAATACTCGGCCATAATTTCTTTGTTTACACCTACAGAAAATATTCACAGTATTTTTCACACACCGTGAAGAAAATAAACTTCCGTACTCTTTACAGAAAGAAAAAGTTATTACTTCCAACAATTTCCGGTTAATAACTTTCTCATGTATTTTTATTTTTATTGTATGAGTATATTAGCTTGCAATATAATCTTTATCAAGTAATTAATTTACCATCGTAACTAAACAGTAATAAAATAAAATAAATAGGCGATAGTTTGTTATTGACCCAAATATTCCTTTTTTGTAATATATAAATATAATTGAGTATTCAGGACGTGAGCGAAAAATGAAAGGCTGTAAGATGGATAAGAAGCTGATATCAAAGGATAAAAAAAAACCATTTTTTAACTTTTTCTTCGGGCTCGTTTTTTTCCGCTGATCTGCACTATACTCGGAAAATTGAATAATTCATAGGCAATATAAGTGAATGAAGAGAAGTAAACCGGAATAAATATATTCAAAACTCGGAATTAACAATTTAAATTTGAAACATTACACTGTTATTATTTTTATTAATAACAATGAATATTATTGTAATATATAATAATTAATAATTAGCTTACAGTTGGATGGAAATCAAACCCAAGTGTTTTTTTATTGAGTAAACAGTCATTATTTGACTTTTGTTATCCACGTGGTTTTTCAGATCGGAAATTAATTTTTAATGATTGCTTTCAGAGATTTATGTTGTTAATCAATTGCGGAATAATTGCGGTAGTAGGAACTGATAAAAAACAAACTGTTAGTCATTCAATTACTGATTGCAATGTATTTTATACTTCGATGACCTCCGTGCTCTTTTTAATTGAAGGATTTCAGCTATTTGAATTATTTGCCAATTAATTTTAAATCTCTGAAGTTAATCGATTGAAAATTTAGTCGAAAAATATTTACAAGTTTTTAATTTTTCGGTAGAATAATTTTTCTGATAAAGAGATGATTTTTACGAATAAAATTGTGACCCGGAAAATTTTCCATCTAAAATTTATCTTTGAAACTAATTCAAGTTTACAGATTATTGATCTATGTGATATTACAAATAGTTTTAAACTTTTTTCATTAAAAAATAGATACTTTCATTAAACAACCTCATTAAATTTCCTTCAAATTTTTCCATTTGCAAAAAATATGTATATAATTTTAACTAGAAATCATAAATATTTATAATGTTGCTAATTTGTGAGTTCTTTTTTTTTTTAAATACTCGGAAAATTATGAGAAGAGAATACAAAAAAACTAATAAGCTTAATCATCAAAATTTAAAAATACCAATCACGTTCCAATGATGACGCGCATAAAAATATACGGAAATTCTACATTTTTTATTGTTTAGTAAATTATTAAAATTGTATTTCAATTTTTAATTTATTTACAAACAATTCCTCAAGAAAAATATTGATTAAAAATAAATAATTAATTTTAATTTGCGAATTAGCAGTAGAAAGAAGTAAAAGCATGTTGGTCGTACAAAAGGCGGTCCAAGGTTCGAATCCAGCTCATTGTTGCAGTGAAGATTAAATTCAAATAATTATTTTTAATATTTCTTCATAATTTTCTTGAATAAAGTCAATTTTTTTTTGAGCCGAGAAAATTTGTTCTAGCTCCAAAATAACTTTGGTCTTGCTAAAAATTTTTTAGAGACAAGAAATTATTTTTTTCTGTATACTTACTTATACTTTATTATATTTTCAACCCTTAAAAATAAAATTAAATTAAAAAATATTTTACCCACATTATTAATCAATTTTAATAAAATTTACATATCACATATAATAGTGAATTGTGAATGGAAGTTTAATAAATCTAGAAGGTCGAGATTTCATTCTATTCCGTCATACTCCTCACGTGCAACCTTTATCCGTCAAGTTTATGCATACGAAAACGCGGAAAAAAACACGAGCAGGAAGTAAAAAATATCTTCAACACCAACGTGCCGAAGGAAAATCGTTTTTTGTGACACAAAGACTGCACGCTAGTCTCAATATCTCAACTCAGCGGCTCAGCTCCTCATGAATCAGTCATTTATTCTTATTCATATAAAGCTTACAATTTGGAGGAGGCAAAATAAAAAAACTCCATTACACGGCATGTATATATTTAAAAAATATATTACGCCTCTTGTATCTTATATTGTCAATACGTACTTTGCATCTTCCAAGTGCTGGATGACTAAAACAATGGACTTTAAAGTAATCTTCAATTTATTCAAGGAGTAAAGTTTGTTGGAATTGGAACTAATGTTGAATATAGTTAATTTTAGTTCGAAGTTTGATGATCACAGGTTAAAACTTGCTAAATTTAAATTAAGTTCCGTTAGAAATAATTTCTCCTCACGTGTTTGTTTAAAGACTTGGGTAATTAAATATACCCTTATCTGCTCTTTATTAATTAACTCAGACTCACGCTATTAGTAATTCTAAATGTCAAAAATTTATCTCTGTGGATAAGAGTCAAAAACACTAAAAAATTATTATAGCTTTTTTTTTATTTAACAGTTTATGCAAAACTTAAGATTGACTTTTTTTTTTCTTCTCTTATTTTTCTTCTTCAAAATTAAAATATCAAACTTAAAATAATAAGAAAAATTTTGTTAAAAAAATCTTATTTCAACTCCATTAAAAATATATTTAATAAAATTTTATTGTATTGAATTATTTAAAAGTTTAAATAAAAATAAATTTATAAAATTTTTTCATTAATTAAGAAAAATTTTTAACTCTTGCCAAGTTCAAAATCTCTTAATTTTTTTTTCAATTTAATTACCATATCTAACTTAATTAACCGGTCGCACTTAATTTTAAGCATATCAAGACATCCACTGAAAGGTTGTGCAAATTTTCAAGGTGATCTGATAAAAAAGCAGGCGTAATTTAGCTCACCTGATATGGCGCATTATATCACTAGAAAGACATAGACGAATAAATTACTCAATAAATTTTCATCAATGCTAAATCTAATTAAAATCTTATTTTTCTAAACAACAAAATAGATAAGAAAATTATTAATAAAAAAAAAATTCAAATTAAAAAAAAATTCCCGTGTTCGTGAACCCTGAGATTACAATATATAATTGATTGCGTCAGAGCCGGAGAGCTCTTGAATTGGTTGGTTATATTCCAACAAAAAGCGACTCTTTGACGCATTCCTCAAACTCTTGTAATGCTGCGGTGAACATTAACCATTCGATTGCAGTGCACATACATTACATACAATATAATACACTCTCTTCGTATGCGGTACACCGCGAGGCCTAACGCAGATGCACATTTTCATCCTGTCAGTCTCGCTTCCTGCTCGCTCGCGACCGGTTCGTTGTCAATAAAATTCTCGGACAGTGGAATAAGTTGTTACACTTTTTATTTCGATCTGGTAGTTTTTTTAACTGACCTTTTTTTTATCTGGGAACGAGTTATTGTGGGGAATAACGAGTTGTGTCGCTGTTTTATTACTTTTACTCACTTACCTATACTAATCAGTGGACTAATAGAATCACTCAGCATGAAGTTTCCCGCCATTCGGCGGATGGTCTTCCTGGTCGTATCGGCGACTATCGGGTCTTGTCCTTCCGCCATTTCCAGTCCACGGAGTCCAGGACCTGGTTTTCTGCTCGATGGCATCTCCAATGTTGCTACCAGTGCTTCCAACTTCTGTAAGTTTTATTTATTAATCAATTTATTGGTAAAAATTTTTTATTTTCAAGTTCAGACTTTTAATTTATTCTGTCTAAAGAATGGGAGAGACGAAAAAATTGATGAAAACTTTTTTTGTAGAAAATTTAATTTTAAATAAAAAATGCTTTTTGTTATCAACAAATAATATTTTTTAATGTTTAAAATAAAATAGTTAAAAAATCTTTGAAATATTTAATAATTATTACCTTTTTTTAAAAAAAAAAGCTTAAAAATTTTACTTTCTAACATCTAATTAATATTTTTATATATATTATAAAAAAAAAACCTTGTATAAAACTGTAAATTTACGCAAATAAAACGCAAAAATAAATAATAAAAAATGCCTTTAAAATTTTTTCATTTTTCAAATTTTTAATTCAAATTTGAACGAATTAAATTCTTTTTAATAAAAAATTTTAATTCTGTGTAAAATATTAGAGATATAATAAAATTACTAGAGACTTTTATTGTAAAAAATTGAATTTTCTATAAAAAAAAAAGTCTCTTATGATTTTTTGTATATTTAATATTTTGATGTCAAACTTTGAAATTAAAATAAAATTTTCATTTCATTTTAAAATTATTAATTGGTGTTTATAAATAAAATTTTCCAGCATTAAAAACAATAATTATTAAATGTATACAACATAAAACAAGTTTTTAAATTTAAACTTAAAATCATTTATTTTTAATATGCAATACTTCGCAATTTAAAGTATCAACTGTTATGTCACCAACAGAAAGTTATTCATCGAAATAATAACTAAATGTATAATTCTTGTTTTATATACATTAAATATTTTTAAATTTATTTATTGATTTTTACGGTATACAATAATTTAAATTTTTGAGAGCGGAACATTACGAGTGATTAATTATAAATTTTTATTAATGTTTTTATTTTTATTTTCATTATTCTCATATACATTGTATGAGCGTGAAAATCTGTCGGACTGTCATATCTCATATGCGAGAAAAAAGTGATTGAATATAATCATAGATCAGATCAAACAACGATTGATGATGCTGGTGATTCTGCGCGGATATTATTTGTCACATTCTCACATCACCGCGGAAAACAAATGGCCATGCACGCAGCTCTTTTTGTTACGTTATTTTTATCTTCCGTTAAATTCAAATAGTCGAGCATGACAACTGGTAATAAATATAATTTATTGTTTTTAAAAATTACTGGTTTTTTTTTTTTTTAAGATATATCTCATAATTGAGTTCATAACTTTTTTTTTTAATTTAATTACTAGGAAAAAATTGTTATTGCGTTATTTAAAAGAATATTTTTCTTGATTTACAGCTTTGAAATTTTTTTTAATTTTATTAATAATTTGTTTTATTTTTTTTATACACAAATATGAAATTATTATTATTGAAATAAATAAAAAAATTATCAAAGTTTTTATCAAGAAATTTAATAGTATAAATTTTTACTAATATTTAATTCTTGATTTCGAAATTTAAAAAATTAATTTAAAATGAATAATATCTGCCAGCATCATTAAAATTTTATAAAATAGAAAAAAAACTATCAAATATTAAATTTCAGTAAAAAAATAAATTACATTAGATTTTACATTTCAATTAATAATTAAAAAAAAAAAAGAAAAGTGCATTTTTTCATTAAATCGACAGAAATTTGGTATTTTGGTAAAGAAATTTTTTTAATTGCGCAAAAAAAATTTTATAATAAAATTTTTCGAATAAAATTAATTAAATGAAAAAATAAATAAAATCATAAAATATAAATTAAATTTTTAATGAAGTTTAAATTGAAAGCATTAAATTAATAACATGATAATTTTTTACAGTGACGGGCGTAGTTCAGCGACAAAAGGAGCTGCTTCATCATGTGACAGACACAGCAACCGATTACGGTATTGTTTATCAGCAAAACAAAATGACGGTGTAATAAATAATTAATATTGAAGAAAAAGCTAAAGAATGTTTTGCAAAGTATTTGAAATTTTTTAGTCTCCAATGCCGTGGAAAAGCCAAGGAACATCCTGATGAACACCGCGATCATGACTACTAATTACAGTAAGTAGAGACAGTGACAAATTTTAAAAACTTTATCGCTCAATAATTAAAAAAAAAAAAGAAAAAGAACAACCAAACTAATTCCAAAAAGGATAGTCGACAGTGCAGCGTCAATTGGACTGGACTTTAAGTTGCGGCGGTTGCTAGAAAAATTCCGCAGCCGAATGCCGTATGGATTTCCAGAGCTCGATGTCCCGGTACTTGAGCCCCTGCAACTGCACGATATTTATGTGGAAACTCACAACCCGGAAATCGGCGAGTAAGTAAACATATTTATTCGACAAATTAAATTAATTATCGAAACAACGCATTGAAAAAATTATAAAGGTAATTTTAAAAAAATATCGCGGTTTAAATTTAAACGGAGGTGTCTTTCATAAATTTTCAAACACACTCATATTTGAATTAGTATTTATTAATAGTTCTGAGATATTTACACAGATGTAACAACAAATTATGAATTAATGAATTCATAAGCAATTGAATGGAGGAGTGGTCTTTATTTAAATATAATTAAGTAGAGTACACTGACATACAATGAAGCACGTGTATGTTTTATTTTTTTGAGAAGTCATGAGAAAAATATAGATATCACTAAGATAAACATATTTTTGAAAGATATTACCATCAGTCACGCCCATGAATAATGAATGTATTTTGTGTATACTGATAACATATTTTCAATAAGCATAAATAGCTACTCCATTTTTATTCTAATTAGGGGGGTCTTCAATTTGTTCTTAATTTTTTCGAGATAAATATGAATAATTTTAAAATAGAGTCTATTGGTTGTTTGAGTAATTTATGTTAAGAATTATTTAATTGATTCAGAATAAATATTTTTTGAGAGCGTTGATAAAAAATAGATTTTTTTTTCCCAATAAAAAATTGTAAAGATAAAAATATTTTTAAATGTTAATTTAAAATTTTGAAACGGAAAAAAATGATATATTTTTGTGTAGAATTTACACAGTAAAAAATTTTGCTCCGTTGCGTCAAAAAATTTTGTGTTAAATTAACACAAAAAAGTGTTAAATATTTAACATAAAAATTTTTAACACAAAATTTTTTGACGCAAAATTTTTTACTGTGTATTTTTGATAAATATAAAACTTGAAAAAATTTTTTAAAAGATCAAGAGATATTTTTTTTTTTTTAATAATTTCAATAAATACAACTCAATTATCAATAAATATTTTTGTGAATAATCATAAAATTTAATGCAGTTGAACAACACTAATTAATATTTATTGCAAAAGAAATCAAATAATTTATTATTAAAATTCCCGCGTCTTATAAATTAATAATATTAGTAGATAAGAATAAATTGTTCAAATAAACTTAGTTGTACGCTAATTTTGTTACGAAACATTGTGAATAAAAATGAGTTTCTGAGCAAAACACCTTGTACATTTTCAAAATAAAAGCTTCTATTAATTTAACTATTAAAAATTGATCGAACAATTCAAAATATTCTAGCTTATTTAAAAAGAAAAAAAAATCAATAAATTTGTGTCAAATTTAAAATATAATAAAAATAAACTGATAATAAAGCAATATTCCTTTTTGACACATAAATATTATTTCAGCCTGAACATATTCGTCGACAATGTGACAATAAGCGGACTGTCAACATTCGTAGTTGATCGAGCTCGGCTGTCACTTCTAGGGCCGACGATAGCTGTAAATCTGACAATACCGACAGTAATTGTCGACGGGTACTATAACATATCTGGAATACTTGGGGACACATTTGAGCTCCACGGTTCTGGGCCATTTGCAGCGACAGCCCGTGACTTTAAAGTTTTCTTCATGACGGTGCTGGGCTACTCGCGGGGGATGTATTTGAAAAGCTTCGATCTGGACTTTTCGATCCGTGACGTAAAGATACGGATGGTCAATTTTATGGGGAACAGTAAATACAGTTCAGTTATGAATGAGGTACAGAAATATAATATTATAAAAGTATTTTTTTTTTTTATTTTACACTGAATGAAGAGTAATAGCCTGGAGTAATTTTTTCCATTTAATTCTCGGCAGGTCTTTCAGGAGCTCACCCCACAAGGCATCGAGATCATTAAGCCTGAAATATTGCCGGATATACAGGACTTCATTGCAGCCAGAGTAAATGACACTATTTATCATCTAACGATGAGAGATATACTGACCTTTCTCATTGGTGAAAATGAAATACGAAACAACCCTCATCTACTGCAGCCTTAAAATAACAGGAAAATGTTATATGCACTCCGTAGTTTATACTTTATGCTTTACTGGTTGTTTTTTACGTTAATAATATAGAGTATAACTCATAAATGTTTTTATTTTTAAGTTCGTAGTTAATAAAAAAAAAAATAATTGATTTATTTCGTATTTTATTTTATCACTTGACTTTTATTTTTACGGGGAAAAAAGATAATTAGATTTTTATGTTTCCTAAATTGTGGCAAGTGAAAATGTGGAAAAAGATGGTGGAAAAAATTTATTATTGCTGGTTCTCTTTTAGGTTAATAATTTGTGAAGATTTATCGCGGACCTCCGAGACTAATACATTTAAACTGCACTCTCAAAACAGTTTGTAAGAAAGTGCGTCGGGAAAGCGAATGTAGAAAGTTGCATTGAATTATTGTTAAGTGGTATTGAACGACTGTGTGTGCCAAGGAACTCTTTTTTTAGTCGTTGGGTTTTTAATTTCTGATTAAAATATTCATTATTTTTGGCAATAATTTATTATTTAATTAAATTAATATTAAAAATTATTTCTTCTTTAAAAATATTAAAATGATTTATTTTTATTAAAATTTTGTAAAAAATAAATTTTTATGTAAGTGTAAATAAATATAAAAAAATAACTATTATATCAAACGATTTGTATCTAATTAAATCAGTAAATAAAAATTGTTATCTAATTATTCCCTGTTACCTTGAATTTTTGAAAACAAAAATAATTTTTCTATAATAATAATAATTAGGTTAAATCTACAAAAAAATAAATTTAGAAGGGTAAATAGAAAAAGTGATGATGAAATAACGCGATGACAATACAATAAAAATTTAAATCAATATTAAAGTCAACAGTTGGTTAAAATTTCAATAAACAAAAGATTTATCAACAATAAATCGAAGTTTTTTTTTGTATTTAAATAGTAAAGAGTAAATATAATTTGACTATCAGATGAGAATAGTAAATATTAAAAATGTATAGAGATTAAATAAAATATGAGATATATGACAATACGTCATTGCCACTTAGCAAATCATCTGTGTAATTAAAAAAAAATTGAAAATAACATTAAAAATATGATATATATGATAAATTTTAGATCGAAGATGTGAGAGGGTAAATACAGACGCGGTAAACAAATTACATAGAAATGTCATGTCAATTTGGGTATTTTAAATAAATAATATTTTCAAGTGCAAAAGGGAATTTTCAATTAATAATTATCGTGCGCTACATCCTATCTGATCTTTAGATTATTTTAAAAGTTTTATCTGGCACTCTTACGTCAAACGCTTTTGTTATTTTTTATCGCACGCAAGTTCATTCGCCGGAGTAGTTTGGTCAATGAATTTAAAAAACAAAAATGATAATAATAACAGTACAAAAAAAGAGCAAAATAAAAAAAAATTAATTGTCAATCTACTTATAGATGCACGTACTTTAATCTACCTAATGGAAAGCAAACATTCTTCTTTTAGTTTTTCTAACGTTACCGAAATTAAATTCGTTGATTATTTTTATCAGTTTTTTATTTTTATTTATCGACTTTATTTTTTATTTTGATAAAATCGATCAAGATATCATGACAACAATTATAAAATAATTTCTCGTATAAATAACAAATCATAAAAAATTAATTTTATCACAATGATTGCAATCAAAACGAGATAATCGATAATAATTGCTGATAATCGGGTGAAATAAATAATTGTTAATGAAAAATGTATTCACTGCAACGCGTTACTGTCATCTTCATCAACAATGTGGCTTTATTTAAGTAAAAGACTATGAGAACTTTGACAAAACAAGTAATAAAGAAGGAGTAGAGGCAGACGAAGAAGACGATGAAGAAGAAGCAACAGTTGGCGGGGAGCGAATAGATATGTACTTATACTTAACATATATATATTAATAAAACCTGCGCACGCGAAATATGTGGAAGCAGTAAAAAGTAAACCCGTCAGTCATGCGTAAAGCTCGACGATATATCCCGACGATTCAAGTGTAGTACCGTTAAAACGACGCTCGACGTCAGACACGCGAGTTTACCACGAGCTGACCAAATTCAAATGATTTAATAAAAAAATAAAAATTTATTTTCATCGTTAGATAATTTAAGAAAAAAAAAATAAATATTTAATGGGAAATTTTTAAATAAATATTAAAAATAAAAAATTGGAACTGTTAAATTAAAAATTGAAAAAAAAAAAAATTTAATAAAATTTAATAAAAATGTATAATTAGGCCGATTGAATTTATTATTAGAAAGTAAATGTGTACTTAATTAATATCATAAGTTTTTTCGATAAGAAATGACAGATTTTTCAAACAAAAATTACCATTAATTAATGTGTTTTATAAGAACCTAACTGTTTTTTATGTAATTTTAATGAAATGAATCAATTAAAGTCACGTACGACTTGATATTACAGAAGTCTGTATGTAAATATATAAATAAGTTGTTAATTTTTTTATTATATTTGACAAGATAAATATAATTGGAACATGTAATATAAAGCACTGAATTTCATTTACTTATGTTTAACAAGTGTCTTGAGAGTCGAGTCGTTATTGAACAATCGGAGTGATGGTAAATTAATATAAACAGTGAACAATTTAAAATGTATGATAAGTTTGAAAAGCTTCTGCGAAAGGCACTTGTTATCTTAATGCTTAATGTTGGATTGATTTCTGAGTTATAAGTCCTGATATTATCGAAAGAAAGACTAGGGAGCTTAATTTAAGGTTCGTTCGTGGATAGTATAGAAGACTGATGCAAATTGTCTTTGCCGTAGGCGGTCTAATGTTCATAGTTTTCTTCCCATTACGTGACTGATAAGACTTTTTCCGTACATTTGCGGAGAAAATAAATTTAACGAGTTGGTAAGTGGAATATTATTTTAAGCTTCATTTATTCTGGGAATTTTCTGATATTAGTTTTGTAATTGATGCAATATTTATTACTAATTTTTTTTTATCATTTTATTAAAACTTAATTTCATTATAGTGATAAATTTATAATTAATTATTGAGTGTCTAAAAAAAATTAATTACAATTAGAAATTTAATCATAAAATTTTAAAGAAAAAAAAAATTTATTTTTATTTCAAAATAATTTTTTTTTTTTTTTTAATTATACAAATTAGATGAAAAAAAATTTTGAATAACATTACAACTAAAAAAAATTTTAAGTAAATTGCAACTGAAAAAAATTTTTTAAATTTAGTCGAAAAATAAAAATAAATGTTGAAATATAGAAAATTATCTAAAAAACCCTGATCTGATGGCGAGAACTCAATAAAGCACCGAATTGAATTTGAAAAAGCCCCAGAGCCCTATTGAATCATCAGGGTTGTTATTTTATCACAAAAAAAGGAAAAAAAATTGATAGGACCCTTTCACTACAGATAGAAAAAAAATAAACTTGACAAAAGTAACGAGATTCCTGTTAACTTCAATCTATCAATATAAAAATATAAACCGAGGTATATAAAGTAGGTAGTTGCCAAAAATGTTCACAACTTTAGATTGAATGATCCGTTGTACTTATTTCCAGCCGAACAATTTTCAAAGATAAATACAAAAATAAATAAATCTGAAATGTCAAAATACACAAAAGTTATTGAATTCTTAACTTTATAAATATTTATAACCTTGAAAAGTTTACCGTAAGATGAATTTTGCCGTATCAATTAAAAGTATTCCGTTGTAATTGAAGATACGTTGATAAAACAACAAGATTGTTGATAAAAGATTACATGACACTTATGATTTTTGCTGTTATTATTATTGTTAGAAGATCCTTCATCAAAGTTTTTTGCAAAAAATAAAGAAGCCGTGGAATTACACCGAGAAAAAATTACTTTTACAAAAAAAAAATAATTTAACTGGAGAACTAAATAAATGGCCGATTCGCAATAAAGTTCTTCCTTCATTGAAGAAATTCCAATCTCTTTGGAGTAATTGAAAAAAAAAATAAAGTTTTCTTCTCGATACAAGATACTAATTTAATTTAAAAAAAAGATAAATTATAAAACTAATTTTTTAAACAAAAACTTTTCATAAATTTGAATTACCCGAGACATTATTATTTATTTTAAGTGATAATCTAACATAAAAAAATGTCTTGTATTATTGTTTTCATCGCCTTGTGGTGTAATAAACACAAATAATAATTTTATTAATAGAATAAAACAAATTTAATAAAGAAATAAAGTAATATCTTGACATTACGAAATTCGGAAATTGGATAAAAATTTTTTCTGGCAGCTGTCGCAGTAATAACCATCAAGAATGGTCAGACACATGTGATGTTCGAGTTATAGCTTCTTTTATTGTCCTCTGACTTTTTCTCTAATTATTTTTCTGCTTTACTCGTCGTTATTTCGTGAAATATAAAATCTCTCAGCATAAATAATTCATACTTCATAACATTATCCATCAAATCTCCGTAAAAAAAATTTTAAGTCTAAAAGTACACACTTCAACGAGTGTTTCATGCTGAATAGAATTGTGAATGTAAGTCATCTCTATTCGCGGAGTTTTTGTTTCGAGTTTTTTTTTGTTATTACGCTCGAATAAATATCTGAAAACAAATGTACTTGTACATGGCTTTTTTCCCTCATGAAAATAGAATTAACGAGGGAACGAAGTTTTATTATTCAAGAAAACGGCAAATGACTGATTGGAAACTCGAAAACGGAAATCATTTACTCGAGAATACTCTCGTTAAAATAGCGTTAAAATCTTCTTGTAATTACAATTACCGATTTAATTACGGTAAAGATGAAGAGTGACAACCAATTTTTTTAATTATCTTTATGTTTGTTGAATGAAAGTTAATAATGAGTTTTAAAACTCTGGTTTAATTTTCATAAAATCTCATATCTGCTCACTGAGTCCAAAGTAATTAGTTAATTAGAAAAACATCCTTGTAATTACATGTTTCATATTGTTTTTTTACTTTTTTTTTTATGAAAAAATTGTTATTTTTGTATAC